CTACACGCAGGAACGCTTCACGTGGAAAAATGTTGTAAATGCGGGTGGTTCAATTTTTTTACTTTTACTCTTTTCAAGTCGAACGTTGATAGTGGTCACGTGCTCCTCAATAAAATTGGTTCCCTCCAAATCTTTCCACCAAACTCCAAACATTTTTCGAAAATAAAATCTGCAAAAAGGTACAAACATTTTATTAATCACACTCTTCTTTTATAATTAATCAATTGTAAGTAACTAATTAAAATTTTTTTTAAGTTTCTAATTTTTCTAAAAAAAAAAAATTGGAATTGTTTTCTGTAATTTTAATTGAAAAAAATTGGAATTGTTTTTTTCAATTAAAATTAAGGAAAACAATTTCAATTTTTTCTTTCTATTAAAACAATATTTTAATACATTTAATATATGTAATATATTTACAAATAATTTAATTTTTTTTAAATTTCCCTTCGTTATCTGACGTAAACAAATTTTTTTTTTGTTTTGACAATTAAGAACAGATTGTCTATTTAAATTTACGTAAAACTATGCTAATGAAGGAAGATAAATTGCTAAATTGATGTAAAAGTTTCTACATGTTCCACTTTCTGTTAAATAAATACTTTTAAATTTAAAAAATGAAACTGGGGCAAATATTTTTTTTTCTTTGAAAAACAAAATTGGACAACTTGATTCGTTGGAATTAAGCAGATTTTACATTACGTATTTTACTGCAACTATATTTGTACAATAGCGACAATAGGAATTACTGTCAAGTGGGATAATTTGGACTTTGTATATTAATTCTAAGTCGGCTAACTCACTTAAGAATAATTTATGTATATACAACAAAAGGATTATTTACTTCACAATATTTTGCAAAAAGAATTAGTCATGCAAAAAATTAACAATTACATTTGAGAATTTTAAATTTCGAAATAATTTATGATTTCATTCTCTTACGATTTTTTTATTTCTTTTTTCTTTATTATATTTCATTAGTTAATAATTTTCTTTTAATGAAAAATAAATAAAATATTTTTTTAAAATACAAAAATGAAAAATTAAATTAACACAATTTTTCCATTTTTACTCTTTTACTGAGAAAAATTATTTCTTTTTTATTATCATTAAAGTATCAGATTAAAAAAGTTAAAATCGTAAATTAATTAATCGACTAAATACATAGTATTTGAAATTTTTCAAGAAAATTGACACTTGACATGGAATATGTGATGAAATACGTAAATTTCATTCGTGAGCCTTCCGCTGATAGTCACATCTAGAGTTTCCGTTTGATTTCAATTTCCTGAACGTGATACAATTGAAATTGACAGCTATTTTTTTAACACGGAATAAATGTTTTTTCTGAACATGGAGTAAATGTTTTTTTTTAAACATGGATACGAATTTAACTGAACTATAAAAAAGTAGTTTTCAATTTTCTCTCAATTTCGAATTTCTCTGTCCAGATCCACATTTTTTTTTTGTAAATATTGCTTATTTAAAAATACAATATCAATTAACAGTAGAAATAATTATTATTTATTAATATTATTTATAATAATTTAAAAAAAAATAATAATAGTAAAATAAAATATAATATTTTATTAATAAAAATAAATAAAATGAAACTCTATAAATGAGACGAAATGATATGTTTGAGATTTAAAAAAAAATTCGTGAAGAAGATATTGTTCTTTGCTCATTTTGAAATTTTCTTATTTCAGTTAATCTGATAAAATAAAATGTCAACTCAGCGAATTGATCATATTTAGCTGTTCACAGGTCAGGAGAAATTCAACATTGATTTTCCTAATTTAGCACCGGATACTAAACTTTGAACGTCACAGGCGTTTATCTCCGATAACTGCCGTGTCGTTTCTACCTGATTTATTTTCTACGTCTAACGACACAATTTCAATGCAATGAAACCCTTTTGTATACTTGATATCTGATTTCTATATTAATTAGAAACATTGTTCTGTTGATTTTTCAAATTCATTTTTTTCGTTTTTTTCCTACAAGTATAAACAAAAAAATGAATATATTAATTTTTCTTGTAAAAAATTGAATAACTTTTTTTCTTCATAAATGTAAAATAAATTAGTAAAGTAAATAAAGTAAAATAAATAAATAAAGTGAGGTAAACAAATAAAATATGGGAAGTAAATAAAATAAAGGAAATAAATTAAATAAATAAAAATGCTTTACTAATGAAAGCGCAAAATATAAATATGAATCGTTTTTAATTGAAAATGTAATGTTACTCATGTTTGAAGATTTCGATAAAATTTATATTTGATACGTAATAACTGAAACTGATTATGTATTTCAGTTTCATAATTTATTAGTGATTACGTAATTAGGAGAGCATAGATTAATTTCATAACTGGCATTAAATAGAATTAGACAGGGTTAATACGTGACCGATATGCAGGCGAAATATTTGATTTCAAATCTAAAAATAAGAGCAAAATTAAATCAGTGCTTCTCTTAAATTTTGAATTTCAGTTCGTTTTCTTTTTTTCTCTGCTTATTGATAGAAAAATTAATTTGAAAAATCAACCCCAAGAAATGAAAATAGAAAGAAGAATTTAAAATTTATAAACTAGTTTAAATAAAAAATAAAAAAGAGTAATTTTAAAAAAATATAATGAAATCAAATTAATTATATTTAAAAAAAGGTTGCCACAGGTCAGGTAAAATTCTTCGCAAGAATTGAATTATTTTTATAAAAAAATCATAAAATCTTTCATAGGATTTCAATTGTTTTCAAAAATAATCAAATTCTTGACAGAAATTCAATTTTTTTTTTAAATTTTAATAAAATTCATCGACAGAATTCAATTATTTTCAAAAACTTTAATAAAATTCTTCGCAGTGAGTCAATTATTTTCACAAATTTTAATAAAATTTTTCTAAAGAATTCAATAATTAAAAAAAATTTAATTAACATTTATCGAAACAATTCAATTATTTTCGAAAATATTTTTAAAAAATCCTTTATATAAGAATTGAATTATTTTTATTAATAGAATTTGAATTGAATTCCTCGAAAAGATTTTTGTATTTTCAAAAATTTTTAATTAATTCTTCGAAAGATTTCAATTATTTTAAAAACTTTTTATAAAATTCTTTGAAGGAATTCAATTATTTCTATGAATTTTAATAAAATTCCTCGCAAGAATTCAATTATTTTCAATGCAGTTTTAATTAAATTCCTCGAAAGAATTAAAATTATTTATTTTCAAAACGATTTCAATAAAATTTCTTGATAGAGTTCAATTCTTTTTAAAAATTTTAATAAAGTTTCGAGAGAGAATTTACATTTTCTTCGAAACCATTAAATTATTTTTAAAAATGTTAATACATTTCTTCGAAACAATTTAGTTATTGTAAAATGTTTTGATGAAATTCTTTATACAAATTGAATTATTTTCTTTACAATTTTAATTAAATTCCTCGAAAGAATTAAATTATTTTGAAAAATTACAATTAAATTCTATGCAACAATTAATTTATTTCAGATGCAAAATTAAATTATGATTTGTAATTGAAAATTATTTTATTCAGAATTATTTTTGTTGCTTTCTTTTTTTCTTTGAATAATTGAATTCTGACAGAACTTTTTCAAAAAAAAAAAAATTAAAAATAATTGATTTAGAAAAGAATTTCAGTTACAAATTCTAGAAAATAGGTAATTGAATTGAAATCTTGAAAATAATTTTGGAAAAGTTACGGTTTCTTTTTAAACGTTTTGAATTTTAAAATTATTAAATTATTGCGAACTATCTATCAAAAAATTTGAAAACAATTGAATTCCTCTGCAAGAAGAAGGAATTATATTATCAAAAGTTTTGAAAATAATTAAATTATTTAGTGAAATTTTATTAAAATTGTTTTGAAAATAATTGAATTTCCGCGAAGAATTTTACTATGTATTTATAAAAATAATTGAATTCTTCCAAAGAATATTTATGAGAATAATTGAATTTCCGGGAAACATTTGACAATTTTTGAAAAATTTACTCGAATTTTTTTTTTCTTAAGAATTTTATAAAACCTGTTGAAAATAATTGTAATATTTTTAAAAATAATTTCATTCTTTCGAAAAATTGTATTAAAAGTTGTATTAAAAATAATTTAATTCCTGTGAAGTATTTTATTATCTAAGAAAATAATTGAATTCCTCCAAAGAATTTTATCAGAATTTTTGAAAATAATTCAATTTTTTTGGAAAAATTTTATTAAAAATTTTGAAAATAATTGAATTTCATCTAATAATTTTATTAAAACGTATTAAAATAATTAATTGTTCTTTAGAATTTTATAAAAACTTTTGAAAATAATCGAATTTAATTAATATTTTTAAAAATAATTGTATTTTTTCTAGAAATTTTATTAAAAATTTTGAAAATAAATTGAATTTCATCTCATAGTTTTATTAAAACGTATAATAACAGTAATTAATTTTTCTTAATAATTTTATAAGAACTGTTGAAAATAATTGAATTCCTCCAAGGAATTTTATGTTTTATGAAAATAAATGAATTCTTCCAAAGAATGTTATTATTTTTACAATAATTGAATTGTTTTGAAAAATTTTTTTAAATAATTGAATGTTTTGAAAGAATTTTTTTAAAAATTTTGAAAATAAATTGAATTAAATCGAAATATGTTATTAAAACGTATAAAAATAATTAATTTTTCTTAAGAATTTTATAAAAACTGTTGAAAATAATCGAATTCAATCAATATTTTTTAAAAGTAATTGTATTTTTTTTTAGAAATTTTATTAAAATTGTATTTAAAATAATTGAACTCCTCCGAGGAGTTTTATGTTTTAGGCAAATAAATGAATTCTTCCAAAGAATGTTATTATTTTTGAGAATAATAGAATTGTTTTGAAGAATTTTTAAAATTAATTGAATGTTTTGAAAGAAATTGTTTACAAAATAATTAAAATAAAATTAATTGAATTAAAATAATGAATTAATTAAAATAATGATTAAAATTTTCAGAAAGAGAGGAACCGAATTATCACGGTGATTCCGTGACCACGTGGAGACGGCAGGAACTCGTAAAAGGAAAGCCGGTCCTCCGAGGTCGAGGCCGGCGACGGCGACGGCAGCAGCAGCAGCCAGACTATGATAGATCCAAGCTCCTCAGAAGAGGAGAGTGAGGAGGACCAAAGCCTTCACCACGGGGGTGGCGGCGGGGGCCGTGGCGGAAGTGGTAGCTCACACGGTTCCCGCCACCATGCTGGTAGTAGAGGCATGGGCCCCGGTTCCGGGCTAGCCGGAAGTGTTGGTTCGGCTAGCTCGGGGCTCACCGCATCGCCTGGCGGCTCGAGTCTTGGTGGCCATGCAGGTTCTGCTGGCGCTCATGGAAGATCCAGCGGCGGTCCAACATCGTCGCAAATTCAACAAGAAGCCGTTGCCGCTGGATTGGACGTGCCAAATTTATCAAGCGCCAGAAGTTCCCTATCACCTTCAATGAGTGCTGCTCAGGATGCTGCTAATTACGTGAAATCCGCCCAAAGACCCACAAGTCCCTCTCCATCGGTCGCCAGTGAAAAGACCGAGGCCGAATTACTGGTAATCCTTCCATAAATTATGCGTCATTCCTAAAAGCGAATTCATTCAATTAGTCATTTATTTAAATAACGTTATTATAATTATTGAAATATTAAACTTTCCATATTTCATTCGTAAAAACAAATTGATAGAATTTAACAATTGAATTAAATAACATTTATTATTACTATTGAAATATATAAAACAAGAAGAAATCGATCACTCCGAGTCTTCGACTCGAAGTGATCGATTTCTTCATGTTTTGTAATAATTAAAAATGACCGAGTGATAAAATCATTATTTTACATTATAAAAATATTTTTACTCTAACTTCTTCAGAATTATTTTCATCACTTCAATTCAATTATTATTTTCTAGAATTTTTAACTAAAATCCATCTCTAAATCAATTATCTATATTAAATTTTAATAATATTAATATTAATATTCGATTTTACGAAATTTCATTGATTATTCGGAAATTCTCCAATTAAGTATATATTAGAAAATAAAAACTTAAAATAATTTCAAAAAAATTCAATGAAACTTTTTTAAAAAAAATTAATTATACAGAATTGTTAGTTAAAAGTATTTAAAAAATTCAGATTTTCTAAGATTTTAATTTGAAAATTTTTCAAAAATCAATTATTTCTAAAAATTAAGCCTCTTAATTTTTTTAATATTCAATTATTACATAAAATTTTAACTGAAATTCATTTTTAAATAAATTTTTATTAGGAAATTCTACGAGGATTCAATTATTTAAATACAAAAATAGATAATTTATTAAATAATTGAATATTTCTCAGAATTGAATTTTAATAAAGAAATTTTTCAACAAATTTTTAAATAATTGAATTCTTTCGACGAATTTTAATAAAATTTTTAAGAATAATCACATTTTTCGAGGAATTTGATTAAAATTGTATTAAAAATAATTGAAATTCTACGATGAATTTTAATATTTATGAAAATAATTGAATTTTTGCAAAGAAATATATAAAAAATTTGAAAATAATTGAATTTCCTGTGAAATTTTTACTATTTATGAAAATAATTAAATTCTTGCGTTAGTAGAATTTTATCAAAAATTTTTTTTAATAATTTAATTTTTTTCGGAGAATTTTATTAAAATAATAAACATTAATAATCATTTAATTGAGGGAAATTTTTGAAAATAACTGAAATTTTGTCAAGAATTATAACATTTTTAAGAATAAATACATTTTTTTTAAGAATTCATTTAAAATTATATTAAAAATAATTGAAATTCTTCTATGAGTTTGATCAGTTATGATAATAATTAAATTTTTGCAACGAATTGTATTATTTTTTTTTAAATACCTAATTGAATTCCTAGGAAAAATTTTATTATTTGTTAAAATAATTGATTTCTTTTAAAGAATTTTAATAAAATTTTTGAGAATAATTGAATTTCTGCGAAGAATTTTATTACTTTTGAAAATAATTCAATTATTGCGAAGAAATTTATAAGAGAGAATTTCATTAAAAATTTAATATATTAGATATTAAAAAACATTGAATGGAGGGAAATTTTTGAAAATAATTGAAATTTTACCAAGAATTTTATTCAAATTTTTGAAAATAATTGAATTTCAGAGAGTAATTATTATTATTTATCTAGATATGTAATTGAAATTTTGACAAGAATTTTTTTTTAATTTTTGAACATAATTGAATTTCTGAGAAGAATATTACTATGCATTTATTATTTTAAAAAATTTGTAAAAATAATTGAATTTCTGAGAAGAATTTCGCTATGTATTTATTATTTTCAAAAATTTGTGAAAATAATTAAATTTCTGCGAAGAATTTTATTACTTTTGAAAATAATTGAATTTTTGTTATGAATATTGTTATTTATGAAAATAATTGAATTTCTGAAGAAAAATTTTGCTATTTATGAAGATAATTGAAATCTTGACGAGAATTTTTAATAAAATTTTTGAATATAATTCAATTTTCGCGATGAATTTTATTACTTTTGAAAATAATTGAATTTCTGTAATCGTTTGTAACTTCTCCAAAATTCAATTTTTTTTAGTGTTTTTAACTAAAATTCTTCTATATAAATTCATTATTTTTACTAATTAAAGATTTATTTATTTATTATTATATAATGATATGTAAATTAAATTTTTTTTGCTAATTTCAGAAGAATTTGTATTGTTGCTAATTAACCATTATTTTGTAGAAAATAAATATTAATTTTATTTCAACTATTAGCGGACTGAGTAGTGAAAATTCTCAAGAGAAAACAAGAAAAAGTAATTTGTAGTGGTAAAAATAAAAAAAAGTATTCAAATATAATAAAAAATCGAAAGAAAAGTAGTAAATAGTAGTTGTTAGTAGATAAGTGCAAAGTCTGTAACAATAGAAATTAATAGCAAATTTTTTTTTCCCAACGAGAGATGAAGAAAAGTGGAAAATTTAAGAATGCAACCAAAAAAGAAATCATTAGAAGAACGACCGTGGTCTTAGAATAGAAAATCCTTAATACAGTACATGAATATCCAAGTGGGCAAATCCTCAGTTCTCTAATTTGGTTATTATGCCGTAGGACAAACAGGAGAGAGAAGAGGAGGAGAGAAAAACACGAATACAACTTTACGTGTTCATTTCGAGATGTGTAGCTTATCCATTCAATGCCAAACAACCCACAGACATGACACGGAGACAAATGAAGATCACGAAACAGCAATTGGAGACACTGTGTTCCCGCTTCCAGGTAATTAGATCTTTTTCACATTTCCAGAATTAGGAAACGTCATCATTTTCAAAATTAAATTAATTTTCCTTCTGGAAATTTTATTTCCTGCTTTTTTATTCTCAAAAGGAATGAAAAATTGTTTCTTTTGAAATAGCTGAAATTTCATCATTTTTTGGGGTAGGGAAATTGTATAGTAAAAATTGTATTTTGAATATGGAAATTTTTTTCGATATGAAAACATATTTTCATATTCGAAACTATTTATTTGTTAGGAAGTCTTTGATGTCGTTGATCGGTCTTGATAACTGTCGGATATATTTAGAATATCATTGGTCTGAGAAACCCTGCAAGGGAAAGTTGCAATTTTCCGAAGCCACACGATATCGTCTTATAAAAGTGTTCCGTGTGTCTAACCTTCGCCTTGGAGTCATAGATTCTAAATTTGATAAATACAATTTTTTATTGATTACAAAGAAAAAACATTCAATTTTCATTGCCCCTTGTTAGTTACAAAAATTTAATGTAAATTTATTATTTTTTAAAAAATATATATATTAATTGCCAAACTTTTGACATGAGAATTTTAGATGTAAAACAATTTCAGGGTTGCTACAAAAATTTAATGTTGTATTTCCCTGACTTTTCCCTGATTTCCAGACAAAAAATTTTGTCTTTTTCCCTGACCCAAAAATTCTAAAAATTATTAGATACTCAAAAAAATGTTCTATTACATTTATTTATGAATTTCTCTAATTGTAAAATTATTTCGAAAATGACAATATAACTTCTTTTTTAAATAAATTTTTAATCATTATTATTTTTCCATAGGAATTAAGATTTTTAAAAATTAAAAATTTGAACATTTTAAAATTAAATATATTTTAAGAATATTATTACAAAACATGAAGACATGGCCGAGTAATAAAATCATTATTTTATATTATAAAAGAATATAATTACTGTAACTTCTTCAAAGTTATTTTCATCAATTCAATTCAATTATTATTTTTTAGAAGTTTTAACTGAGATTTTTTTTAAAATTCTTTTGACAAATTTTTAAGAATAATTACATTTTTTCGAGGAATTCAATAAAAATTGAATTAAAAATAATTGAAATTTTGCTATGAGATTTATTATTTATGAAAATAATTGAATTCCTAAAAAAATTTTATTTACGAAAATAATTGAATCGCTATAATATTTTTATTATTTATGAAAATAAATAAATGTTTTCGTAGAATTTTATCAGAATTTGTTTTAAATAATTGAATTCTTTTGGAAAATTTTATTAAAATAGTTGATATTGAAAAACTTTTCCCTGACTTCACTGACCAATATTCTACTTTCCCTGACTTTTCCCTGAATTTGGAATGAAAAAGCCCTAAATTCTCACTCAACGATTGAACATGTCGATTATTATTTTAATATAATATTTTTGTTTTCAGGCTTTTTTGAAAGGAGAAACGCAGATAATTGCAGACGAAGCCTTCCACAATGCCATTCAAAATTATTTCGATGTATTTTTAAAATCCGAGAGGGTGGTCAGAATGGTTCAGAGCGGTGCATGCTCACAGCACGACTTCCGCGAGGTGTTCAAGAACAATATCGAAAAACGTGTTCGCAGCCTCCCGGAAATCGACGGTTTGAGCAAAGAGACTGTTCTTACGTCCTGGTTGGCTAAATTCGATTGTATATTTAAAGGCACAGGTGACGAGGACACCAAGAGGCCTTCCAGGATGCAACAGCAGTCCTTAAATTCAGAACTGATATTGTCGAAGGAACAGCTGTACGATATGTTTCAGCAGGTCCTCGGCGTTAAAAAGTTCGAGCATCAGCTTCTGTTCAACGCCCTCTTGTTGGACTCAGCCGACGAACAGGCTGCTGCCATCCGGAGGGAGCTGGACGGTCGCATTCAACGAGTCAACGAAATGGAAAAGGTATTATTCCTCTTTATTTTTTCCATGAGATTCAAATTCGCAACGTTTCTAAAAAAAAAATAAAACATTATTTTAGAAAAAAATCCAGTGAATTATATTTTGATATAAATTTAAAATTTAATTTGATAATTTCGTTTTTCAGAACCGTAAGCTCATGCCAAGGTTTCTCTTGAAAGAAATGGAGTCGCTCTACATTGAGGAACTCAAGTCGTCTATCAACCTGCTAATGGCCAATTTGGAGTCATTGCCAGTCTCCAAGGGTTCGATAGACAGCAAATACGGGCTGCAGAAGCTGAAGCGCTACAACCATCGGCGTGAGCGCTCCCGCCCCCGCAGTCAGAGTTCTCTCGTTAAATTGGAGGGCGACTCCGCTGATTCCGACCCCCAACTCACAAAAATGGACGTGGGCTTGACTTTTCAATTGGAAGTTATTGTTATGGAAGTCAAAGGCCTTAAAAGTCTCGCGCAAAATCGAATTGTTTATTGTACAATGGAAGTGGAAGGCGGCGAAAAACTGCAGACTGATCAAGCCGAAGCCTCGAAGCCTATGTGAGTTTCCTTTTTTTCTTTCTTTTTTTCTCTGTTTTTTTCTTTTCCACAAAAAATTAATTTTTTTCCTTGACTTTCCCCCTGATTTCCAGATAAAATTTTCACTTTCTCCCTGAGCCTAAAGAATATTACATTTATTTATGAATATCTTCAATTGTAAAATTATTCGAAAACATCAATAACTTCTGTTTTAAATAAATATTTAAATATTATCTTTTAGTGGGAATTAAAAATTTTTAGAACATTAAAATTCAATCCTTTTTGAAATTCAACGACTTATAATAAATAAAGATGACCGAGTAATAGAATCATTATTTTATATTATAAAAATATTGTTATTGTAACTTCTTGAAAATTATTTTCATCATTTCAATTCAATTATTATTTTCCAGAATTTTTCACTAAAATTCTTCTCCAAATCAATTATTTTCAATACTTTTTGAAACAGTTCTTTATAAGAGTTTTCGAATTTGAATTGTAAACAAATGTTTACAATTCAATTTTAAGTGAAATTTCGATTATTCGAAAATTCTTCGATTGTATATTAGAAAATAAAAACTTGAAATAATTTTTAAAAAAATTCAATTAAACTTTTTCAGAAAAAATTAATTCTACAGAATTATTAATGAAAAGTATGAAAAAATTCATATTTTCAAAGATTTTAATTTCAAACCGTTTCAAAAATCAATTCTTTCTAAAAATTCACGCTTTAATGCTTTTAATATTGAATTATTATATAAAATTTTAAGTGTAATTCATATTTAAATCAATTTTATATTAAAAATAATTCAAATTCTATACCATGAATTTTATTATTTCTGAAAATAATTAAATTTCTAAAAAGATTTTTATTATTTATAAAAATAATTGAATTCCTGTAAAAAATTTTAATATTTATGAAAATAATAAATGGAAATCTTGCGCTACGAGTTTTATTAATTATGAAAATAATTGCATTTTAGAAACGAATTTTATTTAAATATTTAAAAAAAAATTGAATTCCTGAGAAGAATTTTATAATTTATAAAAATACTTAAATTCTTGCGAAGAATCTTTTTAAATAATTGATTTTTTACGAATAATTTTATGAAAATTGTGTTTTAAATAACTGAATTCCTGAGAAAATTTTATTACTTATTAATATAATTGAATATTTGCAAAGATTTAAAAAATTTTTTTAACATAATTGAATTTCTGCGAAGAAATTTATAAAAAATACATTATAATAAACGTAAGTTTCCTTTCCGTTAGCAAATTATCTGCATTCATTTGTTTGTTTTAAAAATTAAATTTTGTGGGTTAAGTATTGGCATTTTTTATTTTTTAATGTCAAACTTTTTAATGTGGAAAATACTTTACTTATTAAATTGTCTCGACTCTTTGGTAAAAAATCTAAAATTATCGAAAATAATCAAAAATTCAAAAATCCGAATTTCTTAAAATTCAACATTTTTTCCTCTCTTTTATTGGATTTAGCTTCATTATTTTTGTGCTTTTGGAAAATACTTTACTTATTAAATTGTCTCGACTCTTTGGTAAAAAATCTAAAATTATCAAAAATTCGAAAAAATTGAAAAATGCGATTTTCTTAAAATTCAACATTTTTTCTTCTCTTTTATGGGATTAAGCTTCATTATTTTTGTGCTTTTGGAAAATACTTTACTTATTAAATTGTCTCGACTCTTTGGCAAAAAATCTAAAATTATCAAAAATTCGAAAAAATTCAAAAATCCGATTTTCTTAAAATTCAACATTTTTTCTTCTCTTTTATGGGATTAGGCTTCATTATTTTTGTGCTTTTAGAAAATACTTTACTTATTAAATTGTCTCGACTCTTTGGTAAAAAATCTAAAATTATCGAAAATTCGAAAAAATTCAAAAATCCGATTTTCTTAAAATTCAACATTTTTTCTTCTCTTTTATGGGATTAAGCTTCATTATTTTTGTGCTTTTGGAAAATACTTTACTTATTAAATTGTCTCGACTCTTTGGTAAAAAATCTAAAATTATCAAAAATTCGAAAAAATTCAAAAATCCGATTTTCTTAAAATTCAACATTTTTTCTTCTCTTTTATGGGATAAGGCTTCATTATTTTTGTGCTTTTGGAAAATACTTTACTTATTAAATTGTCTCGACTCTTTGGTAAAAAATCTAAAATTATCGAAAATTCGAAAAAATTAAAAAATCCGAATTTCTTAAAATTCAACATTTTTTCTTCTCTTTTATGGGATTAGGCTTCATTATTTTTGTGCTTTTGGAAAATATTTTACTTATTAAATTGTCTCGAATCTTTGGTAAAAAATCTAAAATTATCGAAAATTCGAAAAAATTCAAAAATCCGAATTTCTTAAAATTCAACATTTTTTCCTCTCTTTTATGGGATTTAGCTTTATTATTTTTGTGCTTTTGGAAAATACTTTACTTATTAAATTGTCTCGACTCTTTGGTAAAAAATCCAAAATTATCGAAAATTCGAAAAAATTCAAAAATCCGAATTTCTTAAAATTCAACATTTTTTCTTCTCTTTTATGGGATTTAGCTTAATTATTTTTGTGCTTTTGGAAAATACTTTACTTGTTAAATTGTCTCGACTCTTTGGTAAAAAATCTAAAATTATCGAAAATTATCAAAAATTCAAAAATCCGAATTTCTTAAAATTTAACATTTTTTCCCCTCTTTTATGGGATTTAGCTTCATTATTTTTATGCTTTTGGAAAATACTTTACTTATTAAATTGTCTCGACTCTTTGGTAAAAAATCTAAAATTATCAAAAATTCGAAAAAATTCAAAAATCCGATTTTCTTAAAATTCAACATTTTTTCTTCTCTTTTATGGGATTAGGCTTCATTATTTTTGTGCTTTTGGAAAATACTTTACTTATTAAATTGTCTCGACTCTTTGGTAAAAAATCTAAAATTATCAAAAATTCGAAAAAATTCAAAAATCCGATTTTCTTAAAATTCAACATTTTTTCTTCTCTTTTATGGGATTAAGCTTCATTATTTTTGTGCTTTTGGAAAATACTTTACTTATTAAATTGTCTCGACTCTTTGGTAAAAAATCTAAAATTATCGAAAATTCGAAGAAATTCAAAAATCCGATTTTCTTAAAATTCAACATTTTTTCTTCTCTTTTATGGGATTAAGCTTCATTATTTTTGTGCTTTTGGAAAATACTTTACTTATTAAATTGTCTCGACTCTTTGGTAAAAAATCTAAAATTATCGAAAATTCGAAAAAATTCAAAAATCCGATTTTCTTAAAATTCAACATTTTTTCTTCTCTTTTATGGGATTAAGCTTCATTATTTTTGTGCTTTTGGAAAATACTTTACTTATTAAATTGTCTCGACTCTTTGGTAAAAAATCTAAAATTATCGAAAATTCGAAAAAATTTAAAAATCCGATTTTCTTAAAATTCAACATTTTTTCTTCTCTTTTATGGGATTAAGCTTCATTATTTTTGTGCTTTTGGAAAATACTTTACTTATTAAATTGTCTCGACTCTTTGGTAAAAAATCTAAAATTATCAAAAATTCGAAAAAATTCAAAAATCCGATTTTCTTAAAATTCAACATTTTTTCTTCTCTTTTATGGGATTAGGCTTCATTATTTTTGTGCTTTTGGAAAATACTTTACTTATTAAATTGTCTCGACTCTTTGGTAAAAAATCTAAAATTATCGAAAATTCGAAAAAATTAAAAAATCCGAATTTCTTAAAATTCAACATTTTTTCTTCTCTTTTATGGGATTAGGCTTCATTATTTTTGTGCTTTTGGAAAATACTTTACTTATTAAATTGTCTCGACTCTTTGGTAAAAAATCTAAAATTATCGAAAATTCGAAAAAATTCAAAAATCCGAATTTCTTAAAATTCAACATTTTTTCCTCTCTTTTATGGGATTTAGCTTTATTATTTTTGTGCTTTTGGAAAATACTTTACTTATTAAATTGTCTCGACTCTTTGGTAAAAAATCTAAAATTATCAAAAATTCGAAAAAATTCAAAAATCCGATTTTCTTAAAATTTAACATTTTTTCTTCTCTTTTATGGGATTAAGCTTCATTATTTTTGTGCTTTTGGAAAATACTTTACTTATTAAATTGTCTCGACTCTTTGGTAAAAAATCTAAAATTATCAAAAATTCGAAAAAATTCAAAAATCCGATTTTCTTAAAATTCAACATTTTTTCCTCTCTTTTATTGGATTTAGCTTCATTATTTTTGTGCTTTTGGAAAATACTTTAATTATTAAATTGTCTTGACTCATTGGTAAAAAATCTAAAATTATCAAAAATTCGAAAGAATTCAAAAATCCGAATTTCTTAAAATTCAACATTTTTTCTTCTCTTTTATGGGATTTAGCTTAATTATTTTTGTGCTTTTGGAAAATACTTTACTTATTAAATTGTCTCGACTCTTTGGTAAAAAATCTAAAATTATCGAAAATTATCAAAAATTCAAAAATCCGAATTTCTTAAAATTCAACATTTTTTCCCCTCTTTTATGGGATTTAGCTTAATTATTTTTGTGCTTTTGGAAAATACTTTACTTATTCAATTGTCTCGACTCTTTGGTAAAAAATCTAAAATTATCAAAAATTCGAAAAAATTGAAAAATGCGATTTTCTTAAAATTCAACATTTTTTCTTCTCTTTTATGGGATTAAGCTTCATTATTTTTGTGCTTTTGGAAAATACTTTACTTATTAAATTGTCTCGACTCTTTGGCAAAAAATCTAAAATTATCAAAAATTCGAAAAAATTCAAAAATCCGATTTTCTTAAAATTCAACATTTTTTCTTCTCTTTTATGGGATTAGGCTTCATTATTTTTGTGCTTTTAGAAAATACTTTACTTATTAAATTGTCTCGACTCTTTGGTAAAAAATCTAAAATTATCGAAAATTCGAAAAAATTCAAAAATCCGATTTTCTTAAAATTCAACATTTTTTCTTCTCTTTTATGGGATTAAGCTTCATTATTTTTGTGCTTTTGGAAAATACTTTACTTATTAAATTGTCTCGACTCTTTGGTAAAAAATCTAAAATTATCAAAAATTCGAAAAAATTCAAAAATCCGATTTTCTTAAAATTCAACATTTTTTCTTCTCTTTTATGGGATAAGGCTTCATTATTTTTGTGCTTTTGGAAAATACTTTACTTATTAAATTGTCTCGACTCTTTGGTAAAAAATCTAAAATTATCGAAAATTCGAAAAAATTAAAAAATCCGAATTTCTTAAAATTCAACATTTTTTCTTCTCTTTTATGGGATTAGGCTTCATTATTTTTGTGCTTTTGGAAAATATTTTACTTATTAAATTGTCTCGACTCTTTGGTAAAAAATCTAAAATTATCGAAAATTCGAAAAAATTCAAAAATCCGAATTTCTTAAAATTCAACATTTTTTCCTCTCTTTTATGGGATTTAGCTTTATTATTTTTGTGCTTTTGGAAAATACTTTACTTATTAAATTGTCTCGACTCTTTGGTAAAAAATCCAAAATTATCGAAAATTCGAAAAAATTCAAAAATCCGAATTTCTTAAAATTCAACATTTTTTCTTCTCTTTTATGGGATTTAGCTTAATTATTTTTGTGCTTTTGGAAAATACTTTACTTGTTAAATTGTCTCGACTCTTTGGTAAAAAATCTAAAATTATCGAAAATTATCAAAAATTCAAAAATCCGAATTTCTTAAAATTTAACATTTTTTCCCCTCTTTTATGGGATTTAGCTTCATTATTTTTATGCTTTTGGAAAATACTTTACTTATTAAATTGTCTCGACTCTTTGGTAAAAAATCTAAAATTATCAAAAATTCGAAAAAATTCAAAAATCCGATTTTCTTAAAATTCAACATTTTTTCTTCTCTTTTATGGGATTAGGCTTCATTATTTTTGTGCTTTTGGAAAATACTTTACTTATTAAATTGTCTCGACTCTTTGGTAAAAAATCTAAAATTATCAAAAATTCGAAAAAATTCAAAAATCCGATTTTCTTAAAATTCAACATTTTTTCTTCTCTTTTATGGGATTAAGCTTCATTATTTTTGTGCTTTTGGAAAATACTTTACTTATTAAATTGTCTCGACTCTTTGGTAAAAAATCTAAAATTATCGAAAATTCGAAGAAATTCAAAAATCCGATTTTCTTAAAATTCAACATTTTTTCTTCTCTTTTATGGGATTAAGCTTCATTATTTTTGTGCTTTTGGAAAATACTTTACTTATTAAATTGTCTCGACTCTTTGGTAAAAAATCTAAAATTATCGAAAATTCGAAAAAATTCAAAAATCCGATTTTCTTAAAATTCAACATTTTTTCTTCTCTTTTATGGGATTAAGCTTCATTATTTTTGTGCTTTTGGAAAATACTTTACTTATTAAATTGTCTCGACTCTTTGGTAAAAAATCTAAAATTATCGAAAATTCGAAAAAATTTAAAAATCCGATTTTCTTAAAATTCAACATTTTTTCTTCTCTTTTATGGGATTAAGCTTCATTATTTTTGTGCTTTTGGAAAATACTTTACTTATTAAATTGTCTCGACTCTTTGGTAAAAAATCTAAAATTATCAAAAATTCGAAAAAATTCAAAAATCCGATTTTCTTAAAATTCAACATTTTTTCTTCTCTTTTATGGGATTAGGCTTCATTATTTTTGTGCTTTTGGAAAATACTTTACTTATTAAATTGTCTCGACTCTTTGGTAAAAAATCTAAAATTATCGAAAATTCGAAAAAATTAAAAAATCCGAATTTCTTAAAATTCAACATTTTTTCTTCTCTTTTATGGGATTAGGCTTCATTATTTTTGTGCTTTTGGAAAATACTTTACTTATTAAATTGTCTCGACTCTTTGGTAAAAAATCTAAAATTATCGAAAATTCGAAAAAATTCAAAAATCCGAATTTCTTAAAATTCAACATTTTTTCCTCTCTTTTATGGGATTTAGCTTTATTATTTTTGTGCTTTTGGAAAATACTTTACTTATTAAATTGTCTCGACTCTTTGGTAAAAAATCTAAAATTATCAAAAATTCGAAAAAATTCAAAAATCCGATTTTCTTAAAATTTAACATTTTTTCTTCTCTTTTATGGGATTAAGCTTCATTATTTTTGTGCTTTTGGAAAATACTTTACTTATTAAATTGTCTCGACTCTTTGGTAAAAAATCTAAAATTATCAAAAATTCGAAAAAATTCAAAAATCCGATTTTCTTAAAATTCAACATTTTTTCCTCTCTTTTATTGGATTTAGCTTCATTATTTTTGTGCTTTTGGAAAATACTTTAATTATTAAATTGTCTTGACTCATTGGTAAAAAATCTAAAATTATCAAAAATTCGAAAGAATTCAAAAATCCGAATTTCTTAAAATTCAACATTTTTTCTTCTCTTTTATGGGATTTAGCTTAATTATTTTTGTGCTTTTGGAAAATACTTTACTTATTAAATTGTCTCGACTCTTTGGTAAAAAATCTAAAATTATCGAAAATTATCAAAAATTCAAAAATCCGAATTTCTTAAAATTCAACATTTTTTCCCCTCTTTTATGGGATTTAGCTTAATTATTTTTATGCTTTTGGAAAATACTTTACTTGTTAAATTGTCTCGACTCTTTGGTAAAAAATCTAAAATTATTGAAAATTATCAAAAATTCAAAAATCCTATTTTCTTAAAATTGAACATTTTTTCTTTTCTTTTATGCCATTTAGCTTTATTATTATTTGAATTTGTATTCAATAGAAAAAATGGAAGACTGAAAAAATTTAGAAACTTTTTAAAATTCCAGGCCTTTTCCATGATTTCCCTGATTTCCAGAAGCCTTTTAAAAATTCCATACCATTTCCATGATTTCCAGATTCTGTAGGAACCCTGCTTTTGTCTGACTTTCTTCTAAATTATCGAATTCAGTGATTTCTGGGGTGAATTTGGTTAAGTTGTAAAATGATTAATTTCTATTTGAATTCGTTTTTTTTGAATGTAGAAAATCTGATGTTAATTTAATTCTTTTTTCGTTATGCACGGCAAAAAATATTTAGCTGGATGAACTACAGATTTCACTTTAGTAGCGAAATTTTTCAGTGCTTCAATTAATACTTTTGTTATTCTAGAGAAACTTATCGCTATTTCAAGTAAAACTTTTTTCAGTGTGTACTAATTATTATTTCTTTAAAAAGTATTTAATTTAAAATGGCTTTATAAAATAAGCAATGCAAAAGATGACCCAGATACTAATTGTAATTGTTCTAGCCATAGTTTAAGTCTAGTAATGTAAATTCTATTTAAATTGAGACCATTGAGTGAAATTATTTGAATTTTAGTTAGTTAAATCTCTTTGTTAGGTTATAATAATTATTTCTTTAAAATTTTTTAAATTGTTTAAAATAAGCAGCCCCATACAACATTCCCGCGCGGATAGTTTGGCCAGTTTGTAAATAATTGAATGTTTGCGCAGAATTTTATCAAAATTTCTTTAAATAATTGAATTCTTTTGGAAAATTTTATTAAAATAGTTAATATTGAAAATCATTGAATTGAGGGAAATTTTTGAAAAAGATTGAAATTTTGCCAAAAATTTTATTAAAATTTTTGAAAATAATTTCGGAGAATAATTTTGAAAAAGAATTTTATTATTCATAAAGATAAATGAGGTTTTGACAAGAATTTTTAATTAATTAAAATTATTCATTAAATAATTTCTAAGTAATAATTTTATGATAGTTCTTCGAGAATTAAGTTATTTAAAAAGAAATTATTGTCAGAAAAACGAAAAATTGAAGGTTTCTTATTAGAATTGGTGGTAATTTCAAAATTTATGAGGCAAACATAAAAGACACGAAAATTCAGAATTTTCTTATGAATTCTTAAAATTGAATTGTTTCCAGTACTTTTAATAAAAATCCCTAACGTTTTCCTGATTTCCCTGACTTTTTTTGAATTTCTTGACTTGTGGCAACTCTGTTTTTTCCTTCCCTTCTTTTTTCATTTCCTTCTTTTTTTCTTTTTTTTCCTATTTTCGATTTTCCCTTCTTCCCTTTTTTTTGATGACGGAATAAAAAGAAAAAAAAATTAACAGGTGGGACACTCAGGGAGATTTTTCCACAACACATCCATTGCCGATAGTGAAGGTACGACTTTATACGGAGAATCCAGGAATGCTGGCACTCGAGGACAAGGAATTGGGAAAAGTAATTCTAAAGCCAACGCCAATGTCGAGTAAAAATCCAGAGTGGCATCGTATGACCGTCCCAAGAAATTGTCCGGATCAGGATCTCAGGATAAAGATTGCCTGTCGCATGGACAAGCCGTTGAACATGAAGCACTGTGGTCACCTTTACGCCCTGGGAAAATCCGTCTGGAAAAAGTGGAAGAATCGGTACTATGTACTGGTCCAAGTCTCGCAGTACACGTTTGCGATGTGCTCGTATAAAGAAAAAAAAAGCGAGCCGTCGGAAATGATGCAGCTGGATGGCTACACAGTGGACTATATCGAAGCCGTTTCTGCTAATCTTATGGCTGGCATGGATTTACAGGGTGGAAGGTGTGTCTTCTCGTTCCAAACGATTTGTCACGATACACTTCTTTAATACAACTACTAACTGGTATATTCAAAATCAAATCCTAGTCTTCTTTAAGCTTCATTGCTGTTGTCAAAAAGTGCTTCCAAAGTGCGTCATATAATTTTTTTTTACAACTAGTTTTAGTATTTTTTATTTCTTTAGTATTTATTTAGTATTATTTATTTAGTATCTATAAATTAGTTTAATGTCGATGCTTTTTGAGAGATGAGTACACCAGTTAATGGTTGCAATAAGATTGTGAATGACGTAGATATTAGAGTAGATGGCAAAAAGAGTTAACTTTAAAACAGGTACTTCTTCAACGCTGTACGTGAAGGTGACAATATTGTTTTTGCATCGGAGGATGAGAACGAGTGTCATTTGTGGGTGATGGCAATGTACAGGGCAACTGGCCAGTCTCATAAACCAACGCCGCCCGTGACAATAGCTGATAAAAATTCGACAATCAGCAAAATTCAAGGTGACGCTGACAGGGCGAGAAAACATGGAATGGAAGATTTTATCAGTGCTGATCCATGCAAATTTGATCACGCGAATCTTTTCAATTTTCTTCAAAGTTTAACATTGGATTATCGACTGAACGATCCTTATTGTTGTCTGGGTTGGTTCTCACCCGGACAAGTTTTCGTTCTTGATGAATATTGTGCAAGGTGGGATTGTTTTTTTCAATAGTTTAAAATTTAAAGAAAATTTTTTACTTACGTAATTTTGCTGTTATTTTTTTTTGTTTGAGACTTGTAATTTTTTCTTTACGTCTAGATACGGTGTTCGTGGATGTTTCCGACATTTGTGTTATCTCAGTGATCTTCTGGACAGAGCGGAGCGAGGAATAATGATTGATCCAACGTTAATTCATTATAGTTTTGCATTTTGTGCGAGTCATGTTGTTGGCAACAGGCCCGATGGCGCTGGATCTGTGACACATGAAGAAAAAGATAAATTTCAAGAAATTAAAGAACGACTTCGTCAACTTTTAGAGAAACAAATTACAAACTTTAGGTTAGTCTATTCAACTATTATAACTATAAGTATATGATAATAAGAAATAAATTCTTTTTTGATTTAATTTTGCAGATTTCACACTCGATAATTAATTTTTAAAAAAGTAGCTTTCAGACTAAAAAAATGTAGTAAAAAATCAGCTATCGAAAGATTTACCTTGACAACAAAAAAAACTCGTTTTATAAACTTCACAAAACTGACAAAAATTCCATTCTATATTTTATTTTTCTGACTTCTTCCTAATTTTCATCAAAAATATTTACTTCTTTCTTATCCTGCTAGTAAATTGAATTCCTGCAACGAATTTTATTATTCATGAAAGAATTTAAATATTTATACAAAATAATTTAATTTTTGCGAAGAATTTTATAGAACTTTTTAAATAATTGATTTCTTTCGACAAATTTTGTTATTTTTTTTTTTGATATTTTTGAAAATAATTGAATTCCTGAGAATTTTATTATTTATGAAAATAATTGAATTATTGTGAAAAATTTCACTAAAATGTTTAAAAAGAATTAAATTTCTGTAAAAAATTTTGTTATTTTTGAAAATAATTGAATTACTGTGAAAAATTCTAATATTTTTGAAAATAATTGAATAGTGGCTAGAAATTTTATTAAAGTTTTCAAAAATAATTGAATTCCTGAAAAGAATTTTATTATTTATGAAAATAATTAAATTTTTGCTACGAATTTTATTAAAATTTTTTTAAATAATTGAATTCTTCATAAAACATTTTATAAACATTGTTTTAAATAATTAATTTTTTCGAAATATAATAAATATTATGAACATTTTACTTTAAATAATTGAATTCTTGTGGAAAATTTTATTTGTGAAAATAATTGAATTTTTCGATTAATTAATTAAAAATTGTATTAAAAATAATTGAAATTCTTCGATGAGTTTTATTATTTATGAAAATAATTGAATTCTTGCCTAGAATTGTATCAAAACTTTTTTTTTTTAAATTGAATTTCCATGAAAAATGTTATTGTTAGTGAAAGTAATGAATTATTGTGAAGAATTGTATAAAAATTTTGTTAAATAATTTATTTTTTCGGAATTTTTTTTTTTGAAAATGCTATTCTAAATTAATGGAATTTTATTATTTATGAAAATAATTGAATTTTGCATGATTCTATCAATATTTTTTTAAATAATTGAATTCTTTTGCTAAATTTTAGAAAAATACGAGATATTGAAAATAATTGAATTTCAAATATTTTTTTGTAAATAATTGACTCGTTTTAAAGAATTTGATTATAATTTTTGAGAGTAGTTTTTTGATTTCTAGTATATTAGCGAATTTAAACTAGTAGAAATTCTCAAAACAGAAATAGTAGCTTTTATTGGCTGAAATCTAACAAAAGTACTGAAATAGTAGCATAATGTAAAAATAGTAGTAAATAGTAGGTTTTAGTAGATGAGTGCGAAACAGTAAATTTTTAGGAATGGACCAAATTCAAAATTTAGAAAGAAGATTTGGTAGATAAGTGCGCAGCCTGAATTTTGTTTATTTGGCTAAAATAATAATTGTATTAATTATATATTTCGCTTTTTCAGGTACAGTTTTCCATTCGGAAGACCTGAGGGAGCGTTGAAAGCTTCTTTATCACTGCTTGAACGGGTTTTGATGAAGGACATTGTGACACCAGTGCCACAGGAGGAGGTCAGGGGAATGATCAAATCATGTTTGGAGACAGCAGCTCATGTGAATTATGAACGTTTATCGTCAGAGGCAAAAATTGAGGATGACTTTAATGGCGAAGTTCAGCCCAGTAAGAAACTCGAGGACCTGATACGTTTGGCTGAAATTTGCGTCGACCTGTTGCAGCAAAATGAGGAACATTATTCGGAGGTATTAGTTAGGTTTTTAGAACTGAGTGTTCATTGTCTGGAGTTCTCGAGAGAGAGGACAGCATGCAAACAAATACGGACTAGGTAAGAGTCCGCCACCTCCTCAGAAGACTAGCTTTTTCACTTTTACTTTTGTCATTCTTGTAGTTTTCAAAAATAGAACAACAATCATTCAATTTTAGTAATTCGCTTTTCATTCTTGAATTATGTATAAAACATAAAAGACAATAAAATTAGTGAAAAATTAGAAAATTGAAATTAATGAAATTAAAAATTAGAAATAAAAATTAGAAACTAAAAATTAAATGTTTTGAAAAAGAGGATCGTTGTTTTTTAAGAAAAAAAAACAGAAGCCTCACTATTTGAATCAACTGAATAAATTGAATAAATTGAATAATTTGAATAATTTAAAGAAAATGGAAAAACGTTGCCATTTAGAATGTCATAAGCTTTTTATTTGACATCATGACAAAAGTTTTCTTAGAACAAAGAGAGCATTAGAAATCATAGAGTCTTCTGGGTACTCGAGGACTCCTCGGCCTGGGTGGCGCCCCTACCACCTTGTGTCATAAGAAATCATTGCCCGCCGTATATGTTTCTCGTCCAATATTTTCACGTTTCGCTCCTACTACACCGCACCGCAGGCGTTCGCCTGGTTTAGCGACCTCCTGGTGGAACACGCCGAGATCTTCTGGTCCCTCTTCGCCAAGGATATGAACAAGGTCCTCAGCGAGCAGCCACCAGACACGTGGGATAGTTTTCCGCTCTTCCAAATTTTGAACGACTATTTAAGAACGGACGGTGTGTGCCTTTTCTATTTCTCTGCCAAAAATATTAAAGTCTTCGAATTTTATTCATTTAGTATTTATTTCTTTTTAATTAAAACTAGCTTAACTTTAAATATTAATTAAATTTTACCACCAGTTGTTGATTACAAAAATAATCTTTTTCAAATTGAATGAAAATTTATTGTTTCTTCAAAAATATAATTAGAATTCTTCAAAAATACGATATTTCTCAAAACAATTTTCGAAAGTAATAAAATTAAATTCTTTTGAATATAAAATTTATTTCAATAAAATCTGACAAAAATTAAACTCTTCCAACTTTTAAAATTATTTTCAAAAATTCAATTAATTCAAAAAAATGTTAATTATCTACAATTTTTCAAAAATGTAATTTTTTTAGAATTTCAAAATTAAATTGCCCAAAAATTCAATATTTTTTGGTAAACAAATATTCAAAAATTTACTGTTATTTATTTTAATTGAAATTTAAAAGAATTTTTATAAATAACAAAATTATCTGAGAATTACAATTATTTGTAGGTAGTACAATTTTAATAGAATTTTTTGGAAAAAATAAATTTATTTTAACAAATATTAATAAAATTCTTGAAATAAATACAATTATATAAAAAAATTTTAATAAAATTCTTCTGAGAAATTCAATTAATATAAGTAGAATTTTAATAAAATTTCTTGACAGAATTCAATTATTTTCAAAAATTCTAATAAAATTCAAATTCAAAAGAATTCAAATATTTTCAGTATAAATTTTTTTAATTCCTTGAAAAAATGTAATTATTTAAAATTCTTCGAAATAATTCAATTATTGTAAAAAATTTTTCATAAAATTCTTGGCAAGAATTCAATTACTTCCATAGTCAAAAAAAAATATTCGGGAGAATTCAATTATTTTCAAAATTTTATTAAATTCTTCGAAATAATTCGATTATTTTCAAAAATAATATAAATTTTTCGCAGGATTTAAATTATATGTATTTTTATTACAGTTTTAATTAAATTCCATAAAAAATTCAATTATTTTTTCAAAAATGTTTATAAAATTCTTTATAAGAAGAATTCAATTTTAAGAAATACTTAATCATTCTATTAAAATTATTTATTATTTAATTGAATTACCGTGAAACTTTTTGATAAGAATTGATTTCAAAGAGAATTTCAGTTAAAATTTTAGAAAATTTTTTATGAATTTATTGAAAGAATTGACAGTTCTAATTTTGAGAAATAATTAAATTTCAAAAGATTTTACATTGAAAGTATTTTAAAAATTTAATTCCTGGTGAACAAATAAATAAAAATAAGTATTCAAAAATTTCTTAAATAAAAATTAATGGAAATTTTTTTTAAATTTCTAAAAAAAAATTAGTTTTTTGAAAAAATGTAATTAAAATAATTTGGAAATAATTGAATTCCCGACAACAATTTTAAAAAATTGAAAAAATAGGCAATTTTTACAAATTTTATTAAAATAAATTGTATATTTGAAAGAATTTAATTTTCTCAATTGAAATAATTATTTTTTAATATTATTGGATTTTTTCAAGAATTCTAATTAAAATTATTCTAATATATTATTTTCCTTCAAAAATTATTAAAGTTTTAAATAATTATATTGAAAAATTCTAAAGAATAATTTACTTTTGGAAAAAAATTGCCGATTGAAAAAATTGATTTTTACTACTTTTGAAGTATTTTTTCGGAAAATTGTTTTTTTTAGGTTGAAAATGCTAAAAAAAAGTACTATTGTTCTGTTCAATTTTTTACTTGGATATTCATTGATTTATTTTTCTAATTTCAAATCATAATTTTATCATAATCTTTAAAATTTTTTTTTAAATTATTTAAATCTTCGAAGTTTTTTTATTTTGTTTTGAAATTTCTAAAAAAGAGAATTTGTTGATTTTGATTATCATTAACAAAATCTAATTATTATTGAAATTTTCTTCTAATATTAAATTTTTTCTGATCCATTGTGCAGACAATTTGAAGAACGGAAAATTCCATCAACATCTTCGGGACACATTTGCTCCATTGGTGGTGCGCTACGTGGATCTCATGGAAACATCAATTGCGCAATCGATTCATAAGGGTTTCGAGAAGGAGAGATGGGAAATAAAGGGGAATGGCTGTGCAACATCGGAGGATCTCTTTTGGAAATTGGATGCATTACAATCGTTTATCGGCGGTTTACATTGGCCTGATCAAGAATTTCGTAGTCATTTAGAGCAACGATTAAAATTGATGGCAAGTGATATGATTGAATCTTGTATACAGAGGACAGACACGGCCTTTATGCAATGGCTCAAAAAAGGCGTAACATTTATTTCAACCGATTATATTATTCCGTCTGAGATGTGTGCCATGGTGAACGTTATTCTTGACGCGAAGAATCAAAGTTTTAAACTCTGCGCTGTCGATGGTGTTGACGTTGTGAGTATTTCTTTGTTTCTTTAAAATGAGAAATAGACAATATATTATATTTTATATAATTGTTATTTTATTTCTTATTTTTAGCATCAGTGCCATGGTAAAATCGATGATCTCATTGAAAGAACATCAGCTTCAATGTCCCAAGGAATTATTAATAAATTGGTTACCGTCCTGGAAACCACGTTATCCAAATTGTCACGATATGATGAGGGATCGTTTATTGGATCTATTCTTAGTTTTACGGTTCGTGAAAAAATTTGTTTATTCTCCCAATGTTTTAATTTGTGAGAAATAATAACAGGGTTGCCGCGCTTTTGCTCTTTTCAAATTTCCTGACTTTTCCAGAATTTTAAAAATACATTTATATTTTACCAAATTAAATAACTCCCTGATTTCCAGACAAAACTTTGAATTTTCCCTGATTCTAAAAAATATTCTGATTCACTCGCAAAATGATTAAAAACACAAAAAAATGTTCTATTACATTTATTTAGGAATTTCTTTAATTGATAAATTATTCGAAAACATCATTTTTAAATAAATATTTAATGATTATTTTTTCATAAATTCAGATTTTCAACAATTTGAAATTCAATAACATATAAGAATATTAATATAAAACATGAAGAAATTAAAACTTGCTACTTTATTACTGTAAGTTCTTCAAAAATTATATTCATCATTTCGATTATTCATTTCCAGAATTTTCAACTAAAATTCTTCTTTAAGTCAATATTTTTTTAATAATTTTTGAAAAAGTTGTTTGAGAATTTTCAAATTCTTTTGTTTGCAATTTAATTTAACGAAATTTCGATTATTCTGACATTGTTCAAATATTATAAATTAAAAACTTCAAATAATTAAACAAAAATTCCATTAAACTTTTTGAAAAAAATTAATTCTACAGAATTCTTAATTAAAAGTATGAAAAGTTCAAATTTTCAAAGATGTTAATTTGAAACTTTTTGAAAACTCAATTATTTCTAAAAATTCACCTCACGCCACGCTATAATACTTTTAATATTTAATTATTACCAAAATTTTTAACTAAAATTCATTTTTGAATCAATATTTATTAGAAAATTCTACAAGAATTCAATTATTTAACAACAGTAATAAATATTTTATTAAATAATTGAATGTTCTTTAAAATTGAATTTTCATAAAGAATTTAATCAACAGTTTTTTAAATAATTGAATTCTCCTGACAAATTTTAATAAAATTTTTAAGAATAATTTCATTTTTCGAGAAAGTTTATGAAAATTGTATTAAAAATAATTAAAATTCTGCAAAGAATTTTATTAAAATTTTTAAAAATAATTGAATTTAGGAGAAAAATTTTTGTTTTATAAAGATAATTGAAATTATGATGATAATTTTTGTAAATTTTAGATCATAATTGAATTTTTGCGAAGAAAAATAATTGACTTACTCCGAAGAATTTTATTAAAGTTTATGAAAATAATTGAAATTTTTTGAAGAATTTTATTTAAATTTTTGAAAGTACTAAAATCTTTTCAAGGAATTCAATTAAAATTGTATTAAAAATAATTGAATTCTCATTAAGAATTTTTTCAAAATATTTTCGAAAATAATTGAATTATTTCGAAAAATGTTAATTAAATTTTTTTTAATTATTGAATTCTTTAGAGAAATATTATTAAAATTTGTGAAATAATTGACTTACTCCGAAGAATTTTATTAAAGTTTTTGAAAATAATTGAATACCTGTAAAAAACGTTATTATTTATAAAAATAATTGAAGAATAATTTATGAAAATAATTTTTAAATAATTGAATTCCTGCGAAATTTTTATTATTTTTGAAAATAATGAAATGTTTGAATAGAATTTTATTATATTTTTTTTATCTAATTAAATTATTTTGGGAATTTTTATTAGAGTAGTAGAAATTAAAAATCATCGAATTGAGGAAAATTTTGGATTAAAATTTTGCCAAGAATTTTATTAAAATTTTTGAAAATAATTGAATTTCTGCAATCATTTGTTATTGCTTCAAAATTCATTTTTTTTTAGTGTTTTTATCTAAAATTCTTCTATAAATCCATTATTTTTAATAATCAATTAAATATATATTCAAAAATTTACTAATTTAAAAATCTACGTTTTTTAAAATTCCTAATTAAATTCATTTAAAATTGAAATTTTACCAAATTAATTTAATTTCCAATTAAAATCTTTTGAAGTTTATCTACTTATGAAACTTGTAAACGCAACTCTTTTAAAATTGAATTAATTTTGAAATATTTAAGTAAAATTAGATTTTAAAAATAATCACAATAACTTTAGAAAACAACAATTTTCCAAGATTTCGATCAAAAATCCCTGACTTTTTCAGGTTTTTTCAAAGTTTATAAAATTCCCTGACATATCCAGGTTTTAGATTGCGTGGCAACCCAGTAATAGAAAAATTACTTTTTTTCTTTTTTATTTTAAGGAAATGTAAATAAAGTCTCAAGTTGTATTTACTTTAGATTAAAGTGACTAATGTTTGAAATTGTTTAATTGAAAAAATTCAATGTTACAGAAAGTTTCAGGGAGCGGAAAAGAAATGGGCCAAGCTTATGTTAATTTCGCAAGAAACTGCGTGGACCAAATTCGTGGTAAGGTTATCGACGAGTTGTGGATTATGACCTTTTTCGAGGTAAGAAAAAAAAATTTACCAGTGATTTTTATAAATTTAGTTATAACTTTTGATATTTAACTTTTTGAAAATGGCGAATTAACAGAAATTGAAATTTTTCAGCAATGGTATACTGCCCAAATAGAGATGCTTTGTACCTGGCTTTCGGAGAGATTGGATCACAGTTTACATTTGTACCAATGCACATGCCTCGCTCATATCGTGAAAAAGATTTATTCTGACTTTGAACTTCAGGCGATTGCAGAGAACAAACTTAACTCGAAGACATATCAGACGATATCTCAGAGAATGCAGACAGAGGAAGCAACTTGTGCCTTAACCATGAGCGCTCAGAATGAAGAGTCAGTTGAAAGAAAACTATTTTTCCCCCAATTTTCTTTGATTAATTAATTAAAACTGTTCGAATATTTTCAGAGGGCTTTCGGAAAATGGCAATGACGACGATGTGGAGAGGCCAAAAACGAAAGTGACAATCGTCGAGACAATGACAGGTGACGATGGAAATTTTGCCAATATCAGCAATGTGACATCGAATGTTGTTGGAAAAGTTGGAAATATGTTCGGCAAGGGCATCGGTGGCCTTTCTACGAAATTCGGCGGAGCCACCAGTTGGTTCTAGTTATTTTGTAGTCTCCTAAACTCTAAGCTATATTTGCCTAGAAATGTTCCTTCAACTCACTCATTCACTACTTATTAATAATTGATTATTATTATTATTAAACAAAAAAATCAAATTATCGCCAACAGAGTTGGACATAAATTTTTTAAATTGAATCACAATTATTGATTCAATAAATAAGTCCTCAAAATACTAAATATCATTTTATTTTTTATCAAATTTCTCAAGAGCAATGCTAATAATAAATACATTTGAAAGTATTTTCTTCTCTTTAAACAAAAAAGAATTTGATTCTAATTTTTTGACTTTAAAAGTCTATATCTTTACTATCGGCCACAACGCTCTTAATATCACGATGCCAATAACGATAGAATACAAATATAGTTGGAAAAAAACTAAGAATAGCAGAAAGCAATAAGATAGATGAAAAAATAAAAAATTGAGATAGTAATAAAAAAAAAATTAAGATAGAAACAAAATAGAAGAAGGAATCGAGAGAGTTATGGAAGAATGTGATGTCATTTTAAAATGAAAAACGACGTGTCACGTAGCAAAAAAAAACACGTCTCACCTGAAATTTTGTATATACGATATGCACCGTAAAATGAAGGACCGATATATGAGAGTATAAGTAAGAAATAGAGAGAGAAAAAAGTATGTATATACACACACATACGTATATATATATATATTAAAAGTGTAACGTGTATTTATCATTTATGGACAATTATTGTCTGTACACACCAGATACACCGTTGATATATCTAATTAGAGAAATTGTCGCAAATTTAAAAATTTCCCATTTAGCATATATGCGCAATTATATATGCTGTAATTCGAGTCAGCGACAGTATCTAATATTCGTAAATTTAAACAATGTATAAGACGTCAAAGGTAAAATTGCCTCGTTATTATTTAGCTAATTTTTAATTTTATTGCAATTATTTTTTTGTTATTTTAAAAAAACTGGACTATAAAGAAAATTCAATCAATGCTCCAGAGATCTTTAATCGATATACTAAATATTCTTCAAATTAGACAATTTTTCTTAAAATAGTTTATTTCAAACTGATAATTTTTATTTTTATTTTTATTTCTAATTTTATTTTTCATTTTATTTCTATTTCTCTATTTATTTCTCTTTTATTTGATTTAAAAATGTAAGTGTATTATTTAAATAGTAAATGTAAATTATATTATTATTAATTAATATTAATATTAAAAAATTTATAATTACAATTTTACAGTGAATTTTGAGTGGAGAATATTTATGAAAAATTTTTTAATCTAGGAAATTTTTCAAATGTTATGAAGAAAAAATATGAGAAAATGTTCTAAACTGAAGAATATTTTATGTTTAGAATAGTCAACGCGTATCGAATGAAGACTTTAAAATCGAAAATTGGCGGTGTCTTTGAGTAATACGGAATTGAAAAGAATAAAACATGTGAGTTTACTTTTAATTTTACTTATCTGAACTCTAATTTACTGCAAAATTAATTTAGAAATTAAATATTGAAACCAAAGGCCATCGAAACCAAAAAAAAAAAAGAAAGAAATTAAAATTGACTTAGAATTAAATTAAAATTGAATAAAAATTGAATTCAAACTGAATTAAAACTGAATGAAAATTGGCTCAGAATTAAATTAAAATGGAATTAAAATTGAATTTAAACTGAATTAAAATTGAATTCAAACTGAATTGAAATTAAATAAAATTGAATGAAAATTAAATTAAAATTGAATAAAAATGAAAACAAAGTTAAATTAAAATTGAATTGAAATTGAATTAAATTACATTGGAATTTATTATAAAATTTACTAAATTCACACTGTATTTTTTCGATTTTACGGTCTTAGTCACACATTCGAGCGAGCTGAAATATTTTTATTTGTGATTTTATGAAAAAAACCATAGGAAAAAAGTGTTATATAAATTTATATTGCGAAAAATAAAATTATTTATGAACGGCCAAATACATGTGTATTTTCCAAAATTAAAGTGAATGTACGTTAGTATTTGTTTGATCTAGTCGATCAGTAGATAGGTATATATATGTACTTTAAAACAATTCAAATGAAAGGAGTAAATAATAATTAAAAATTTGTTATCTCAATTTTTTCTACATGGCACTTTATTGAAATAGTTGTATAAAAATTTCTAATTCTTCTTTTTCAACATAAGTTTTTTAAAACATAAAATTAATTTTATACTTAATTTTATATAAAATATAATAAATTTAAAAGTTTCGCACTTGATTTTAGAAAATAAATTTTTGAAAAGAATTTAAAACTTATACGGAATTAATTTTATAAAATAAGAATTGTAATAGACAATTGGTTTCGTAGTAAAATCGAATATTACTTTTTTTGAAAAGTAATTTATACACACAATAATTGAAAAACTACGAACGAAGAATTTTGACTTTACTTTATGCGACAAATAACGTTATAGTTAAGTGATTTAAGAAAAAAAATTTCTAATAGGGTAAAAAATTTTTTAAAATCTGAAAAATGCCTCCAAATTGGAATAGATTAATTAAGAGAAATTAATTAATTAATTAAGAAAGAAAGATTAATTCAAAGACATCGAAATAGTTTTTTGAAAAAGGAAACTATAGAAACATTGTTCACTCCTCTCATTTAATTGAAAATGTTGTCATCTAAAGTATATATTATATATTCAGTTTTAAAATTGAAAAAAAATTTCTTTTCAAAGATATTGTTGCCTGTGCTATACAAAAAAACGAAAACAATCTAAACAAATTCCTTCTGTTGATACTATACATATATATTTAAAAGAAAAGTTTAATTCTCCACTTGTACTTGGAATTTAGCAGAAACGAGACGAGAGCGAGGATAAATTTTATATGATATAAATTGCACGCTCGAGTTTGCTGAAAAAAGTACTTTGTGGCATTTTTCTTTTTGCTCGATCTTTTTTCCTTTTAAAAAAAAAGAAAAAAAAAATTGCCTTTCGTATAATCATGTTGTGCTACGGCGTCCGGAACGTTGAAGACACTGAATTTTTGCTACCTTTGACGAATATGTACATAAAATGCTTCTACGAAGTACGACGGATATATCGAATTAGTTTATCGAATTTTTTTAATAGAATAAAAAAATAATTCTAGGATAATTTTAAATTCTCGAATTTAACGAGAATATTATAGTTTTATAATTATTATTAATTATTAATAATCATCATCATAGAAAAAACAGTTTTGTCGTATTTCGTATTCTGCACTATTTCGATAAATCAGAAAAAAAAATAAAATCCAGTGTCGTGCTTCTTTTCATTTTCATTATAATTGCTAATTTCATTTTCTTTTTGCCTCAACGTTCAAGTAAACGTAGCAGTGATTAAATGTGGATCAAGACTCAAAAAAAGAAAATGAGTCTGTGAAAAAGGTTGTTATAAAAGACACTCAAAAAGAGGTGGTTTCCTATCCTCGATATATTTTTGTCACCTCGAAATAATCAGAGCATAATAAAAAAGAAAAAAAATTGGTCTTTAGCGCCTATAACGCCTAAGTACTATTTTACGAGACTATATTGATGTGCGAAATAAAATAAAAGAATTTCTTTTTAGCGCAAGGCGAAATGAAAATGTGCGAGTTAGAATGTGAGAAAAAACTTGATATATAAAAGAAAACGATAAATGCGAAAGTTAAAGTACTATTTATAGCGTATTACCTGCTATAAAAAAAAGGCAAGAAAAAAAAGCTAAATTATTGTACCGTACCTATAACGATGCTGGTAAATTTAGAAAAAAAAACAAAATGTTATGATTATCGTTATTACTATATTCTTACTATGAGTAACAAAAAAAAACTCTCTTATAATCTACATTTAGATTAGACTAAAATAGGGCGACTAATGCAATAATACTATTTTTCTGCTCCGATTGTACAACATTTCTGCACTAAAAAAACGAATTATCTACCTTTAAAAAAAGAAACGATTTATTCTTCTTCTTATATTTACGTTCATTATTTCTTATTCGATATTATATTTAAAAAAATGCCCGACTTTTTACTCTAGACATTGTTCTAGCAGAATTTTCTTCTCTTTCAAATGTTGTTCTCTCGTTAATAAAAATCTGTCAAAAAAAAACACAATGACTCTAAAATTCTAAATTTTCTTTCCTATTCTCAAATAGAAATATTAATTGATGTGTAAAGCATTCTGAAATCATTCGAGAATGTCTGTTATTGTTGTCACGAGAGAGACTGTTGTTGTTGTATAATATAATTATCTATATCAAGAAAGTAATGCGAAAGCATCATTCATTTTTTAGTTTAAAAAAAAAAAAATTAATATAAAATGAAATCTCCGCAAGACAAAAAAAAATTAACGAATGTCTGACATGTCCTAATTGATCATTTTCATAACATCAGTAATTATTGTGCAAAGAAAAACTGAAAGTGATAAATTTGTGTTAAATAAATAATGTAAAAACATTTATCTCACAATTTTTTCCCAAAAATACATAATTTTTTCGAGAGAGAAAAAGAAATGAGCGAATGAAAAATCATCCATTTTAAATTGTTTCTGTTGTGTCAATGTTTCTTTAAATATTTTTCAGTTCAACTATTTTCGAAAAACATATAGAAATAATCAAAAATTCAAAAAACAAAATTGCATAAAAAATACTTTTCAACTAACCTCAAAATTTGCAAATTTTTGTTATATAGTCTTACAGCATATAATTATCTCTCAACGAGAGGATTTTCCAGTCCCATTATAATCCACACTTCTCATAAATTAAATTCAGCTTCCAATGAGTAAAAAATAGATATTTATTATTAAATAAACCACTAAATTTTCAAGATTTGCAAAATATTTGCAATAAACGTTTGTTTTGTTTTGACAGTTTGGACGTCTGGCGGTTATTATTTGAATCAAATGATTGACAGCGCTATTATTGACGATTATCGGAACTTCGTAGAGACAAGTAGTGTCAAGTGTCGTGTCCTTGGCTCCGTTATTACATTTTTTTAGTTGCCAAAAAGAAGTTCTTGAATCAAAGACCCTGGAAACTAAATACAAAATCAAGATCTTGTGTGTTTAGAGTAATTAATTAAATACCTGACATTGTTTTAACCTGTTTTTTTCCTCAAACGTGCATATCAACAATCACTCAAACCATGCTCACGGTACATCTCTATTTCATTTATTTTAATAATTTAATAACTTTAATAACAATTCACCTTAAGTGGAATATTCCGAAATATTTCAATTATTCCTAATTAACGAATTTTTTCATTTATAGTCAACAATCAGGACTCTTGCTCGACGATCGTTCTCAACATCGAAATGTGCAGCTGCACAGACAGTAAGTTTATCTAATTTTACATCCTAAAAAGCAAAAGTGTTTATATTTTTTATGTTATTTTGATAGTAGTACTAAATGAATGAGTGATAGGGGTAAAATTATTCATAAAAGTTGGTTGCATTATTGTTAAAATGTCTGGAAAATATTTTGTAAGGTGAACATAACCTCACTTTTCTAAATATCTCGTTCTACGTCTGACTCTGACGTCTGTGTTAGATAAGGAAGATTTTCTTGTTGATTATATTATCTAATAGACTAAGCGACTATATTGTTCGTTAATTAAGTATTTTTGAATTTTAAAACGATGAGAATTGTAGAATTCAAAACTACTTTGAAGGACAACGAAGGTCAATAATACATTCGTTTTTTTATCAATTTTATACAGTTAATTTATACATACTTGTTGATTGTGAATTGTTAATTTTAATATCAAGGTCTTTTTGCTACTATTTCGTAATAATGTAACATTTTAGAAATGCTTTATTGATAAAATTATATTGACAATTCGATTGTTAAATAAATTGAACATGCAACTGTTTTGATGTTTTCAATAGCTGCAAATAGTTATAGTTCGAAGCTGAAATAAGAGTTTAAATTATGCTCTTTTGTTTACTAATGATTGTCGACAGCTATTAATTAATAGTAAAAAGTTATTTATCAATTTCCTGTTAAATTAATAAATAACATTTTATGTAAAATTATTTTGAACTAACCGTCAAATAAGTTGTTTATTAAAATGTTAATTTTTTTTTAGTAGAGTTTTGATATTTTTTTGTATTAAAAGCAAATTTTTTTTGTAGGTAACAGTTCGAGAAGCTTTAAATGCAGCCTTAGACGAGGAAATTGCACGTGATGATCGAGTATTCCTTCTTGGAGAAGAGGTAGCTCTTTATGACGGAGCCTACAAAGTTTCCAGGGGTCTTTGGAAAAAATATGGTGACGCTCGTATTTATGACACTCCCATAACAGAATCTGGATTCGCAGGTCTCGCAGTCGGCGCTGCAATGGTAAAATTCCAAAAAGAGATAAATTAAATGTTCAGGGTTGCCACAGGTCAGGGAAAGTAGAATTAATCTGGGTAAAATAAGGTATTTTTATTGAAAGTAGTGGAAAAAATTTAATTTTTAAAATTCATGAGAAAATTCTGAATTTTTGTGTCTTTTTTGTTTGTCTTATAAACTACGAAATTATCGTAAATTGTAATCCAAAACCTTCAATTTTTTTATTTCTGTCAGTAATTTCTTTTAAATTATTTAAATCTTGAAAAACTATCATAAAAATTATTAATTATAAATTATTTAATGAATAATTTTAAATATTTCAAAATTAATTGAATTTTAAAAGAGTTGCGTTTACAATTTTCACAAATAAATAAACTTCAAACGGTTTTAATTTGAAATTTTACAAAATTTTAAATTTGAATGAATTTAATTAGAAATTTTAAAGAACAAGAAAAAACAAAATTTTTTGTGGCAAACCTGTTGTTAAATTCAAATTTAAATCACAAAATTTTAAATCACAATTTTCATTTATTTACAAGTGGTATTTATTTATTTAATTTACAAGTTACAAGTGTAGTAAAATAAAAAAAACAATTATATTTTTACAGGCAGGACTGCGGCCAGTTTGTGAATTCATGACCTTCAATTTTTCAATGCAGGCAATTGATCAGGTTATAAATTCAGCGGCAAAGACATTGTACATGTCCGCTGGTCTTGTTAATGTACCAATTGTATTCCGTGGTCCTAATGGCGCTTCAGCTGGCGTTGGAGCACAACATTCACAATGTTTCGGTGCATGGTACAGTCATTGTCCAGGATTAAAAGTCGTTTCACCTTACTCATGTGAAGATGCTAAAGGACTTTTAAAATCGGCTATTCGCGATCCTGATCCTGTTGTTGTACTCGAGAATGAACTCATGTATGGTTACCAATTTAATATGTCTGACGAAGCAATGTCCAAAGATTTTCTAGTCCCAATTGGAAAGGCGAAAATTGAACGTCCAGGAAAGCACATCACACTCGTTGCACATTCCAAAGCTTGTGAAACGGCACTTCAAGCAAGTGAGGAACTCGCTGGACAAGGAATTGAATGCGAAATGATTAATTTACGTTCACTTAGGCCTTTAGATATCAATACGATAATGAAGTCTGTAGCCAAAACGAATCATTGCATCACTGTGGAGCATGGATGGCCTCATTGTGGTATTGGCGCTGAAATCTCAGCCAGAATTATGGAGAGTAAGTCTTTATTAAATTATTCTATTTAATTATTTACTCTTTATCTGAAGGAAATTATGAATAAAATTCAATCGTTTATAATTGAGCCTCCGGAAAGTATAACCACACATAAAATTCTGACCGCCATGCTAATTCAATGGGCGTCAGAATTTTATGTGTGGTTATACTTTCCGGAGGCTCAATTATTAAGTAGTTGAATTATTAGAAATTTTAATTTATTTACAAAATTCAAATGCAAAAGCAGGCCTCGGATTTTATGACTTTTTCGACTATTTTCAAAAAAAGGCGACTTTTTCGACTTTTCTTCCAAGTTTTGCCACAAAAACTACAATTTTTTGGTATAAAATGCAATTTATTTCGATTTTTATAGTGTAAAAAGTGTAACTATAGACAAATCTTTTAAAAATTATTGTTGAATGATTTTTCTAATTAAATTTTTGAAATATACAATTAAAAAAATTTTCAATAATTGAAATTTTATAAAATTTAACTGAAAATAATTGATTTTATCAAGTATTTTATTACAATTTTTGAAAAACAACTTTTGAGGAGCTTAATTGCAAATTTTGAAAATAATTGAATTCTCAAAAATTTCAATGAAAAATCTTCAAGTGTAAATTTATAATTATATGAAAATTAATGAAAATTAGCCTCTAAAAATTATATTAAAATATTTTTGAAGAAGGTAATACTTATAGAATTTTTTCCTTTTAATTTTGTAAAATTCAATTATTTTCAATAATTTGAATTACATATTTCCGAAAATTTGAATTTTACAAATACGTACAAAAAATAATAGCATTAAAATTTTTTAGAATTATTTTTAACACTTTGCAAAAAACAATCATTGTTCAACATTTTTTATTAAAATTCAACAGAAAATTAGTTTCTTTTAAATTGTACAAAAATTCTTTAAAGAAATTCAATTATTTTCGTAAAATTACATTGCAATATTTTAAAAAAAATGAGTCTTATAATTGTTTCATTATAATTTTTTAAAATTCATTTTTATTAAATTTATTTTTGTTCGAAAATAATTATCTTCGAACAAAATAAATTAAAATTTTTTAAAATTTACTTTTTAGACTTTTTAAAATTTTGGAGAATTTATGTTCATTTTTAAAATTAAAATTCTTCATAAAAATTTGATTATTTCTTTTTATATTTTTCGAAAATTCAATTATTCTTAAAAGATTTTACCAAATTTCAATTATTTGAAAATTTTTCAATTACATAAATTAAAAACCTATACACTTTTAAAAATTATTTAAAAATATATTTTAAAGATTAATTTTAAGAATTTCTTTACTATATTTTTTTAAAAATCAGTTACTTTCAACATTTTTGTTTAAATATTTTCAGAAATTCATCTTAATAATTTTTATTGAAAAGAACCATAAACAGTTACAGTTACAATAATTATGGAAAATTTATTTTTTGTTTTTAATTTAATTTTTAAATAATTGGAAGAAAAATTTTAAATAATTTATTTGGAAATGAAGTTTATTTAAAAATTGTAAAAAAAATTTAATTTTTGATGGGTTATAATATTGTAATTTAAAGAAATTATTAAATTTCAGAAGGTTTTAATTTGAAATTTTTCTAATTTTATTTCCCATGGAAAAACAAACATTTTATTTTATATAAATTATATAAAATAATATTTATTTAACAAAATTATTAAAGTTTCGAAAAATTGAATTTAGAAATCAGTGAAAGGGGATAATCAGAAGAATACAAAATAAAATTCTTGTGACATGCATATGAATTAAATAAACGACTTTTTCGACTTTTTTTTCTATTTTTAATCCACTAAAGCGAGTTTTTTGCTCCGAGGCCTGCAAAAGCGAAAAGAAACGATTTTGACAAATTCATAATTAGAAAATTAAGAATTCGATGGAAATGAAGATAAATAGTGGTAAATTTTGTGGAGCAATATTTATTAGAAGATGGAGTAGATGATCTTTTTTTTAATAGGAAAAACCATTGAAAACAATTAAAATTTTTAGGTGAGGCGTTCTATCATCTTGACGCACCAGTAATTCGAGTAACAGGTGTTGATATTCCCATGCCATATGCAAAATCATTGGAAGAGACATCAATTTGTCGAAAAGATGATGTAGTATTTGCAGTGAAGAAAGTTCTTGGAGTAGCTAAGTAGTAAATTGTGCAAAATTTTTAGATACATTTCCTCCTTTATTTTCGAATCGTCGAAACTTTCCTCCTTATTATGCTTTCTATTTATTGAAAGTTAGTACAAAGTGAAATATTAGTTACAATTTCAATAGTTTATCATATTTCTTCCAATATTGGTTTTTTTTTAAAATTCAAATGCACTTTTTTTGTTTATTAACTATATTAATTTTCGGTTATAAACAAAGAAAGTATTCAAAATCACTGCCACAATTTTTTTCCCAACTTTAAAAATCATTTATTTTTCGTGAAATTGCGTCTTAAATGTTATTTTTTGTTTTCTGTAGATAATCCAATTGTACGTTTCACGAAAAATTGATGAGTTTTATAATGAAGTGCAAATGGGATGTTAATATTTTCCTCTGGAAAAAAAAGATTTAAGAAATGAATCTCATTGAATGTAAATTGTTATAATTTATTTATTTCGATTTTACATTTTCTGTCTTTCATTCTCTCTCTCTCTCTCTCTTTCGTTCTCGCACTCGTTTGGTTCGCAAAATTCTTGACAAATTAAAAATCCCTATTTTTGAAAATTGTCCAATTGTTAAGGAAGAAAACGACTAGACATTTGATTTGACAGTGTCAAAGAATCAGTTTTATGAAGAATTGGCATATAATGCAGACACTTAATTTGTGTTTGCATTTGTTCGTAAATTATTTATTATTACAGAAAAAAAAAAATAATAAATTGTAACATACAATATGATGTTGTGTTATTTTAATTCATTTTGCATTTCTTCTGATAATGATAGTCAGGCATGATACATACGTAATAAACAACAGCTGACTACTTTCATAAAACGATCGAATGCGTCTCGAAGTTCACTTTCTCTGAAAAATAATAATTATTTTTTTTAGTGCTTTTTTCTTACTCTTTTCGTACTTTTTTTGTACTTATTTTCGAACAAAATCTTTGCTTTTTACCTCAAAACATCCATGTCAAGGGCACATTGCGTGTAAGCTGATAAAAAATTCCGTAGATCCGAGTGTGTCCAGTTAACTTGTCGCCAAGGCTCCACGCATCGTTCAATTAATTCCATAAAGAAAAATCGAAGTTCTCTGGATCGATGTAAATTACATCCAATGCCGAGAATCGCTCTCGAGTAAGAACGAAAATTTGCTTCTAATTCTTGATAGGAACGTTCCAGTAAAATTGGCTTTAATTTGATACACACTAAACTGTAAATTGACAAATTATTGAAAATCATTTATAGAAATTGTTTTATTCAATTTTTTTAACCAAAAAAATAACTATTTTTCTATTGACGACACTTACTGTTTATGGTGTTTTTCATTTTCCAACAATACCCGACATTCAGGCAATTCCAAAAGGAATTCTCTGTCTAAATCGGTATCGAAATATTCGGAACCGGTAATTCTGTAGGTCCAGGAAGTCATCATACTGTAGGCACAATGATAAACATCGGCAAACGTGAGAAATTGTAATTTTCTTTTATTCATTTCGAATCGAAGACACGCGATAAACACGACGACTGCATATCGTCTATATTAAGAGAAAAAAAATTTATTCGTCAAATTAAATTTTTATTTGCAAAAAGGGAGAATATTTTGCTCACTTCGCAAGTTCGTCGGGAAGGAGAAAATGTTGTTTAATATTCGCAACTAGAGATCCTGACATATCTTCGACTGCTTTAAAGACACGTTTTACATTATCATATTGTCGGCGACAACTTTTTATTGAAATACCCGTTTTCTCGGCCACTTCATCCATTTCTTTTCTACTTTTAGACGTTAATTTTTTCCCTAAAAGTTCTCTAATCACACTGTCGTTAAATTCGTAATACCTGAAAAGTATTAAAATCAATTTTAATTCGTGTACATTACAAATAATTGCAGAAATTGAATTATTTTCAAAAATTATAATAAAATTCATCGAAAAATTTCAATTATTTTCAAAAATTTTCCTTAATTCAATGATTTTCAATATCTACTATTTTAATGAAATTTTCCGAAAGAATTCCATTATTTAAAAAAGTTTTTATAGAATTCTACGCAAACATTTAATTATTTTTTATAAATAATACAAATTGAACAGGAATTCAATTATTTACCAATTTTTTTTTACATTTCTTCGCAATAATTTCATTATTTTCATAAATAATAAAGCTTTCAATTATTTTTAATACTTTAATCGAATCCTTCGAAAAATGTGATTATTCTTAAAAAATTGAAATTGAAATTGATTTGAAATTCAATTATTTTCAAAAGTAATAAAATTCTTCGCAGAAATGAATTTTTGTTAAAATTTTAGATAATAATTGAATATTAAAAACATTCTCGAGTAAATTTTTATAAATAATTGAATTTTGAAAAGGTTTCAGACTAAAATATTTAAAAATCTGAATTTTTCATACTTTTTAATTAAAAATTCTGTAGAACAAATTTTATTGGAAAATTTCAATTATAATTCTTTTGAAATTAGTTGATTTTTTAAATACATATTTAATTATTAAAAATAATGGATTTATAGAAGAATTATAGTTAGAAACACAAAAAAAAAATGAATTTTTAAGAAGTTACAAATGATTCTAGAAATTCAATTATTTTCAAAAGTAATAAAATTCTTCTCAAAAATTGAATTATATTTAAAATTTTTTTTAAATCCTCCCCAAAATTTCAATTATCTTTTTAAATAATAAAATTCTTCTCCAAAATTTAATTATTTTCAAAAATTTTAATAAAATTCTTTGCAAAATTTCAATTATTTTTAGTACAATTTTAATCGAGTTCCACGAAAAATGTAATTATATATTCTTAAAAATTTTATTAAAATTCGTTGATAAAATTCTTTATCAGAATTCAATTTTTTAAAAAGATTTAAATTTCAGTTAAAATTTTAGATAATAATTGAATATAAAAAGCATATTTAATTGAAGAATTTCCGAATAATGGAAAATTGAAAAAATGTAAAATTGAATTGATTTGTAAACAAATCGATTTGAAAATTCTCAAAGAACTTTTTGAAAAATTATTAAAAGTAATTGTTTTAAAGAAGAATTTTAGTGAAAAATTCTGGAAAATAGTAGGAATTGAATCGAAATAATGAAATTAATTTTGAAGAAGTTACAGTAACAATATTCTTATACTAAAAATAGTAAAATGTTCTCTTATTTGACTCGAACTGGTTATAGGATTTTTTGTCAGTAATTAGTCCATAATTTTTAATTTTTGGTCCGAAAAGTCCGTATTTTTAAATACTTTCACTGATTCGAGCTCTGTATTGATTGCAAAAGTTACATTTGTCTTAAGATTTAGTTTAAAAATTTTAGAAGAATTTCTCTTACATCTCCACGAGCATTTGACTAGTTTGAGGTTCAATTTGAAATGCAAGTTGTTCACTCGGTAGTTTAGTTGGTGCTTGAAGTAATCTCTCTAAAAGTGAATAAGTGCGATAATGATCCAAAACATCGGAAGCAAGCAGTTCAATTGTAGCATTTGTTTGTTGACACACTCCCCGTTGTTGCAAAACATTAACGGCATCGCTGGCTGTTGATACATTAAAAAAAAAATGTTAATTAAATTTACCCAAATTTTCGTAAAAATAGAAATATTGAACGAAATATTTGATAAAAGAGTAAAATTACAAGACAATGTTTACAAAACTACGAAGTTTATAGTTTTTACCAAAAAAAAAATTGGTGGGATGGGTTTCGTTGTAGTTAAAATAATAGGTAAAACGATGATCAAATAAGGTATGTATGATTTATTATTAATAGAATTAAGGATACTTACATGGGTAACCATCGACCCAGAGTTGATAAACTTCTGGATCAATTAGAGTGTAATTACTGACAAAAACATCAACCTCAGAGAGCATAGTTGAGGTTATAAAATTCTTTGCACTCTCATTAAAATTTTATAGTTCCTCTAAATTTTTTTTACCAAATTAACAAAATTACGCGATTTGGTACAAAACTTATATAAAGAATTTCGATTATGTGAAGAATTGGCAAGTTGACAGCAACAATTGGCTCCAATTTAAGATTTATTATTATTTACATTCATTTAGCAGACGAAAAAAGGTTTATTATTAACGCACATGCGTATTGATAATTAGAAGCAAAAAAATTGAAAACTTGCTTTAGGTGCGTTTACAATTGCCGCTAAAATTTAAAATAAACATAAATACAGTAAAAATGTTTAGAATAAAAGTAAATTCAGTAAAAATATTTACAATAAAAACACAATATATAGAAATAAAATATTTATTCATAAAATTATTTGTTTTCTTGATTAACGATGATTGTGAAATCAAGAATAATTATTTAATAGACAATAAATTAATTTACAGTTATATAAGAATTAATGGGCATTAATTAAAATAAAAATATTTAACAAAATACGAGTATTTAGTGTATCTTTTCGAGGTGAAACGATTTAAAGACATTTTTTATTTCTTCTCTAAAGATAAATTTATGCGATTCATTTGTATTGTGTATAGTTAACATTAAGAAACTAATGTTTGTTTCATAAAAATTTTATATAATAATAATGCTACTGCTGACAGTGGTCTCTATCCATATTTTTATAATATACATTTTACACAGCCTGAATTTCATTTTGTCTTCATTAAAAACGAAACATATAATTTTTTCTTTTCTTTTAATTGAAAGCGAAACATATATGTTTACTCATTTTGTTTCAATTAAAAACGAAACATGTATTTACTCATTTCCTTTTTAATGTTTACTCATTTTGTTTTCATTAGAAACGAAACATGTTCACTCATTTTGTTTCAATTAAAAACGAAATGTGTTTACTCATTATTTAATTATGTTATATCGTAAAGAGAATTAATATTGAGTGCAAGCAAAAAATGAGTAAGATGTGGTTGATATCCACTGTTAGCCAATTTATTCGCCACGTGTGTCATGTATGTTCTTAATTTGCAAAATGACTTGTACATATTCTCAAGTTTAGAATAATTAGGATGAACGTAACCAGTTGCATTCAGAATCCATTTTTGCGAGCGAATTTGATTGTGAAACTTTAATACAACAATGAAGACATTACGCAGACACTCCTGCATTCTTTGATCTTTCTTGTACAACATACATCTAAAAAGAAAAATTTAATTAATTTTTGTAGTATTCTTACCTAGATTTAAATTCTTATTTTCATTTTTTACATTCTCGTCAGAAAATAATGAGAAGGTATTGATTTAATAATATTTGTTATTATTTGGTTTGAAAATTTATATTTTCTAAAAAAAAAATTGGAACATTTTCTTAATATAGTGAAAAGAATTAATTTACTTGCCTCGATAGGATTTTCTTTATGTAGACAACATGAGATGAATAAACCTCATCAACTGTTGTTGCGTGCTCCAAATCTTTTTCAAATTCAGCCCAACTCGCGTGCAAAACACTGCACGTTAAATAAGTGTGTAAAGCGTTTATAAATTGCATCATGGAATGTCTGTAAAGATGAATCTGAAAAGAAAAATTCCATTATTTACCCAATTTTTAATCGAAAATTAATTTTAAAATAGTAGCTAAAAATAAGCTTTAAAATTGAAAAAAAGCAGTAAAAAAGTAGCTACATATATCTAAAATTTTAATTTAACGACAAAAAAAGCTCGTTTTAGACAATTCACAAAAATCAGAATAATTTGATTCTGTATTTTATTTCCCTGACTTTTTTCTAATTTTCAACCAAATCATTTACTTCTTTTTCTTATTATGATAATAACTTCAGTTTTAAATTTTTGTAAATTTCGTAATTTTTAAATTAAGTATTTTATTAAAAACTTGAATAATTTTTGTTAAATAAAAATATTTAAGTACTAATTTATTTTTGCACAGGAATTAAATTATTCCAAAGGTTTTCAATGTAAAACCTTCTTCAAATTTAATTATTTCTAAAAATTGCAACTGTAATTCTCCCAAAATTCAATCATTCTTTTTGTTAAAATTTAAAAATGAAATCATACAAGACTTTAATCATTTTTTAAGAAAATAATAAATTAATAATTTATTAAATAAAAAATAAAATGTTATTATAGTTTCACAACAATTAAAACATTCAAAACATTCCAATTTAAGAATCTTTTGAAATTGAATTATTTTTGAAAACAAAAAGAGGAGAATTTAATTATTTAAATACAAATATAAATAATTTATTGAATTTTTATAAAGAATTTTATGAAAATTTTTTAAGATAATTGAATTCTTGCTACAAATTTTATTAAAATTCTATAAAAATAGTTGAATTTCAGAGAAGAATTTTATATTATTTACAAAGATAATTGCATTGTTGCGAAGAATTTAGAATTTCACTATTTAAGAGAATAATTAAATTCTTGAGAAGAATTTTATTAACAATTTTTTAAATATTTAAATTCCAGTAAAAAATTGTATTATTTTTTAAAAATAATGGAATTTCTGAGAAGAATTTTGTTATTTATGAAAATACTTAATTGAATTCTTGCGAAGAATTTTACTATGTAAGAAAATAATTGAATTTTTTGAGAAGATTTCTATTATTTACAAAAATAATTGAATTCTTGAAAAGAACTTTATTAAAAATTTTTATAAATAAGTAAATTTACGTGAAAAAATGTATTGTTTAAAAAAATTATTGAATTCCTGCCAAGAATTTTTTTGACGCTGAAAAATAATTGAAATCCTATAAAAATGTTATTATTCATGAAAATAATTGAATGTTTTAATGAATTTTATTAAACATTTTTTTAAATAATTCAATTCTTTTGAGTTTCATTAAAATACTAGATATTGAAATTAATTCGATATTATAATGTTAAATGACATGATGTCATTAAATTACCTTATGATATTGTTCCGAAGTAGCGGCTTGACTTTCAGTTTTTAAAATATGAAAATCCTCCTCTAAAACCCATAGAACTCTTCCAACCATAAGCAAAAATTTGAAAACCTTGGTATATTGAAGCATAACAACATTATCAAAAATGATATTTAATGGCCAGGAAGTTTTATAATTCAATAAAAGACAATCTAACGCCTCCGGATTTGATACCTAAAAAACAATTTCAATTTTTAATTTCATTTTTTCAAAAAAATTCAGTAAGTAAATATTTTTTATTCAATACCTGAAGAACTTTTGGCAATCCAGTTGCCGAAAGACTCAAAAGTTCCGAATTCGCATAAGTATTACTCAACGAGCTTACAATTGCCCTATCCAAAATATTTTTCAATGTTGCCGAATTAAAAAGTTCAAATGGATTTGAGGCATCGTATAATTTCGTAAACAAAGAGTGTGTTAAACTTTTTGCAAATTCTCCATTCAGTAAAAAGAAATAATCCCTTAGACTGTGTAGATGTGAGATGATATTGTGTTCTTCAAGAAGATATTTAATCATTGCATTATTAACAAGTTTACATTGTATTTGAAGTGGAACTGCGACAGATTTTTCAAGATAAACCGACAATGAAGTGGCGTCAAGCATTTCGACATCAACAACAGTCAATGATGATTCAAATGTCGGTGTTGTTGCATCCGTACTAAAGCCAATAAAATCCGGATGCTTTATTTTACCCTGAATATGTTCGAATCTCGATTCGAGTGTTAATTTCGAATTTTCAATAATTTCATCAGACGCCGTGGGAATTTGAATATCGCTGCCAATTTCCGAGAAGGGTGTATTTTCACAACTTTGCATTTGTATCGAACTACTGTTCATTGAAGATGTGAAATAATCCGTTGCCGATGACATTGGTGTTTGAAAGCCTAATTCTTTGATTTCTTCAATTACTTCCTCATGATCCGTTAAGGTGACGGTTTTTTTTGGCTTCTCAATATTTCCCTGTTCCGTTCTGTGAATTGTATTTCTCAAACGATTTTTTTGAAATTCGGTCATATTGTCGGTGGTGGTTTCCGGTACTTTGGTTATTTGTAGGAGATCCGAATTATCGACTTGATGTCGAGTATTTCTCAGACGATTGATTTGCAGTTCAGTTAATGAGGGAATAAAATTGGCGTTTATTGTCTCTTCAACTGAGAAATCAATTATTGCTTCGTTATTATTTGGTGTTATTAAGCCGAATTCGTGTTGCATTACGCGCACTTTATTTCTTTGAGCTTCAGACATGGTGATTTCTCTTAATTCTAAATAATTTGATTTGACTTTGGAGTCGGTTATTTTTGACGTAAGTTCTTTTGTCGTGTAGTCGGAATTTGTGAGATGCTGTGGATTTAATAGGCTGACAATTTCGTCAGTTTTCCGGTCATTTATAGTTTTTGATTTTATATCCAGAACCGTGGGTCGAATTGCTTTCTTTTTTTCTACACATTCTTCCGTATTTATTGATTCATTATTTTGGGTTAAATTTGCATTTTTAATTTCTGACGAAATTGACGATTCAGTTTCGTTAACGTTGCAATTTTCATCTTTGTGTACTTCTTCTTTTTCTTCTTCTTCCTTTTTTGTTTCTTTTTTATCATCATTAGCATCAGTTTCTTCTTTTTCTATTTCGATTTCTTTTTCTTCTTCTTGTGCTTTTTCTTCTTTCACTAATTTTGTTACATTTTCTTCTATGGATTTCAAATCTTCGCTTAAAATTTCACCTTCAGTGGGGGTTTCAATATTTTCTGAATTTTCAACTTCCTTTTTCTCTTCTTCAACAGTCGGAGAAGAATTCATATAATCGATTGTTGAGCACATTTCTTTTTCTAAATTTAAGACAAATTCAACTCTTTCATCAAATAAATTCATTCTCTTTAGACGCCATTCGGTTCGGGATCGTTGCTTTTTAGCTTCGACTGCCAACTCGTTATAATATTTTAAAGTTTTTGCCCTGGAAAATAAAAATAAATTTTAAATAGATTTAAAATAAATTTGAAATAAACTTAAAATAAGAATAAAGAGATAGCGAATAAACAATTATTTTATGCTTTTTAATCTTACTTTTCCTCTTTTTGAAGATTTTTGGCTTCCTCCTCTTCTCTAGTTAGATTTTCAAGAAAGATTTTATCTGCTAACAATTCGGCATTCTTATCTTTTTCTTTTCGCAAAGCGGCTTCCTCTGCTTGGCTTTTTAATTTTTGGAGATACTCGCACTTTTCTTTTTCGATCCTTTTCAAGCGATCCTCTTTTTCCTCTGTTATTAAATGAAGACGAAAATAATGAATTATTAATTATTAAATTATTATAATTATTTACAAAGAAAAATTGAATTTTGAATAAATATTACTTTTTAGTCTTTGAAGAGTTCCTTGCTGAGCCTCCATAACAAGTTGTGCTCTTCTCTTTTCCTTTTCGATCCGTTCTTTAAAAGCAGAATGCAAGGAAACAATTGAACCTAATGCTTCCTCGCCTCGTTTTCTGTATGTATTGCAAAATTTAAATTGCTCTTGTAGCATTTTTGTGCTCAGACAAACTCTCACAGACGGTTGACAAGTTGATGACACGATACAAACGGCATTCTAAGAATGATGATTTAATTTAAAATCAGCAAACAATTTTTTTTAAATTCGATTTTTTATCCTCGGATAAAAATTTGGTAATATTTACCTTTGGATCGCAAATTTTTAATAGTCGTACAGTTTTGCCACATTCTAAAATCGAGTCCGTGAAACTTCGAAGAAATCCCGGCACCGATTGATTATTTATCGTGAAGGCTCTGGTCCAGAATTTACGATCTTTCAATCTTACATAATGGGGTTTTACTTTAATCATAAATTCTCCATAAACATCTTCGCATATACCTTCAAATATCCATTTTCTCAAGAATCTAGTATTATAAATTTAGGAAAAATTCAGTAAAATAGAAAAAAAGTAGGAATTAAGAAGAAGCAAATATAAGAAATATAATTACCGAAAATATACTTCGCAGCATGATTTTAAAATAGAATAAAATATAAAGGCCACATTTGGTTTAGTAACCTTTGTAACTTGTTCGTAAATATGAGTGAGTATTCCTAAACCTTCGCCCAATGAAGTTTTCTCTAATCCATTGCACTGACAAAGTTCAGCAACTTCAACAATTAAAAACCCTAACGGTCTCGCTGAGTTAAGTAAATTCAAAAGTCCCATTTTCTCGTCTTCGGTAATGGGAATTTGAAGAACGGCTGCTTGATAAAAAAGCAGAAATTCTTTTACACTATCACACATAGCCTGAAATTGACAAAATAGTAATTATTATAAAATATATGTTGTTAAAAAAATATATTTTTCTTAAAATAGACCTTGAATAATAATCTTTTATTCACCTTGAAAATTAGGCCCCCGACTTGTAATTTCCCCGAATTCGGATCAGGCGTTACTAAATTAGTTAAAGCCATAAAGCACGTACCCCATCGAATAATTTCATAGGAAATATTTTCTAGTGACTCGGGACTAATGCCACAAATAGCTAAATTCTTCTTTAAACTAAAACCCTCCTGAAAAAATAAACAAAACATAAACATAAAATACAATATACAAAAATGTAAAGTGTAAAAATAGATTTAATCTCTTACCACAGGATCGTAACAGAAAGAATTTGATTCAACACCAAGGAGTAACAATTTAATATCCTTGATAAAAGTTAGTGATGAAATCTCGGTAATTAATGGCGTGGACAGAAGAGCTTCTTCAGAAAGTAGAGGTAAAATAGCAGCTTGTTTCAATTTAGCCAAATGCAAAACAGCTTCATTTGATTCTGAGAGAAATGATGGTTCCTTGATCGATTCTTCAATTCCCAAATTCTCCCAAGTGCGAGCATTTTTCTCTGGAGGAATCTTATGAATATCCTCCCAAATAATCAAACTTTTTGAATTTTCATCTTCATTGTTGAGAGAATGATTTGATATTTGTTCCTCCCAAATGTCTGAAGCACTTTGATTGTCATTGTGAGGTGGCCATGGTGATTCAGGTTCTGTTACTATTCCCTCCACTGATTGAATACCTTCTAAAAATCCTCCATCCTCCTGTAATAATAAATAATTAAATAAATTTTTTTTTCTTTGGGGAAGCAATAACAAGGTTGCCACAAAAATTTTATTTTGTTTTTCCTTGATTTCCAGACAAATTATTTCAGAAAATAATTGAATCTCTGTAAAAAATTTTATTACTTATGAAAATAGTTGAATTTTTTTTATCATTTACTAAATTATTGAAATAATTGAATTCTTTTGATGAATTTCAATAAAATTTTTAAGAATAATTAAATTTATTTAAAGAATTCATTTAAAACTATATTAAAAATAATTGAAATTCTTCGATGAGTTTTATTAATTATGAAAATAATTGATTTCCTAAAAAGAATTTTAGTATTTATAAAAATTATTGCATCCCTGTAAATAAATTTTATTATTCACGAAAATAATTTAATTATTGCGTAGAAATTGGCAAAAAATTTGTAAATAATTGAATTCCTGTGAAATTTTTAATATTTATGAAAATAATTAAAAGATTGCGTTGAATTTTATCAAAATTTATAAAAATTATTGAAATTTCAACGAGGATTTAAAAAATTTTTTGAACATAATTGAATTTTTGCGATGAATTTTATTACTTTTGAAAATAATTGAATTTCGGCAATCATTTGTAACTTCTCCGAAATTCAATTTTTCTTTAGTTGTTTTAACTAAAATTGTTCTATAAATCAATTATCTTTAATAATTAATAAAATATATATTAAAAAGTTTAACTAATTTCAGAAGAATTTGAATTATTAAAATTTTTCAAAAACTTATTTTCTTTAAAATTGTTAATTAAATACATTTAAAATTTGAAATTAAAATCGTTTGAAGTTTATTTATTTATAGAAATTATAAACGCAACTCTTTTAAAATAAAATTGAACTAATTTTGAAATATTTAAAAAGACACGAAATTTCAGAACTTTCTTATGAATTCTAAAAATCAAAATTTGTCCAGTACTTTTAATAAAAATCTCTGATTTTTCCCTAATTTCTCTAATCGATTCTACTTTCTCTGACTTTTCCCTGAATTCCCTAATTTATGGCAACCCTGAATGAATAAAAAATTAAAATAAATTAATAAAGGGAGCGTTCACAAATGATGTCACGCTTTTAGGGGTAGGGGGGGTCTCTACTAAACGTGACACAATGTATTTTTCTCATGTGAAATTGCAAAAATTGCGGGACAGGGGGGAGGGAGGGGGTCGAAAATCTCCAAAAATTGCGTGACATCATTTGTGAAAGCTCCCAAATAAATAATAGTAATAGAAAATTATAGTAAATTAAATAGTAAATAAATTATTGAATTATACATTTATCTGCGGTAGAAAATGTGAACCCATCGAGTAGCTCATGACTCGAGAAAAAGTTGAAACACATCCTGGTGTTGATATTACTGATCCTCGTTTACTTTGATAACTGTAAATATAAAAATTATTTTCTTTTTTTTTACCTACAATGATAAATTTAACGAAAATAATTAATTTTATTTACCCAATCGATTGAATATCAACCGAACAGTTTGATGTAAACTGATTTAAAAGTAAAAGATTGCTTCCAGGATCTGCGGCACTGTCTCGAATAATACTCTCTCGATTTACTCCAAGAACTGTTTCAAATTTATTCGGTAATTTGCAGGCTTCCAAGGGATAAATTTGAAATGACACCTCATTATCATTGCCAATTTCTTCAGGTAAAAGTGGATTTGCTTTGCCGCAATTGAAAATGTTCTGAATATTTTTAATTATTAGAAATTAAATTATTAGCGAAATTGATATGAATGATAACGAGAATTCATAAACAACTTACCAAACTTTCCTCGTCCTCAACTTGTGAATTTTTTAATTCATTTAAAAAAACAAAAATTGAAGGAACAAAAGAACTTGATTCCTCAGGTGTATTTAAAAGAAATTCATCGAGCAAATTCTCCAATTTTTTAGCCTGTGATCGACGACCAAGTTCAACTTTAAGTTTAAAGGAATGTTTTAAAAGCTCTGCAATCGGATCGTACCTTCTGTCACTATCCAAAGCTGAAAAATAATAAATATTTAGAAAACTATCGTTATATCGAATTAAGTATTACAAAAATTAATAAGAATTCAAAAAATTTCAAAGAAATAATAAAGAAGAAGAAGAAAATAATAACAAAGAACAAAATAACATTATTTAATTGTAAAATAGGTAAACTTACAGTAATTAGTTTTATTGAGAAGAATCTCGAAAGCTTTCGATCTCATTCTCTTTAAAAGGCAAAGAGAATTTTTTTCTGTTAAATAACGTTGATCCTTTAATAAACATTGTTTTTCAATTAAATGCTCACATAATTGAGTAACAAGACCGAATACATCACTATTCTTTTGATCCAAAGCCATGTTTTCTTTCACACTATTTCAAAATATTGTAAAATTCGTAATTCTTCTCTAAAATCATGTTTTCTTATTATTTTAGTTTTATTTTTGCACTATTTTCCGTAGAGATAAACATTTTTTCAAACAAATTATTGAATTTCTTGCTTCGTGTTGATTGTCGTCTGCTAATTTCTCACTGCGCATGCGTTGCTGACTAATCAGCTCCGTTTAAATAATTGGTCCTTTCAAAATTCCCGCCATGATTCTATTGGTGGACCAACAGAAATTATTCTACGTCGACGCAACTTTGCCGACGGAAAGTCTTTGACAGGTGGTGCCACTCTGATGGTAAGTCCATGGAACGCAGAGGTTATGTTTACCGACTTTTAAGAAGTTTATCTCCGCGGGTCTCTTTTAACACATCAGCACTTTGCTTATTGTTTGCTGCCCGGACAGGGTGTATAATTTGTGTGTCTCTCTTCGGTGTTCTTCGACAGAAAAGTCGTCCGAGGAGACCGTTGGAGAAAGGAGAATTAAAAATTTTTCTCGATTTTCAATAATAATTTGATCCCGAGCAATCCTATTGTTTTCATTGAAAAAATGTTTCATTTGAATAAAATAGCAAGATCTAGAGCTGCTTTAAAGCAAGTTCCTGGATCGGATGTCATTCAAAGTGCCTTAGCACGCGCAATACCGGCGGCTGGAAGTATTCAGTGTCGAGGTTATGCCGATCATCAGATTCCTGAACGTTTAAAGGAAGTTCCAAATGCAGAAAATCCAAAATTCTTCGATATGGTGGAATATTTCTTTCATCGGGGCTGTCAAATTGTCGAGGACAAGCTCGTCGAGGATGTTGGTAAAGCATCGAGAATTACGCTTGAGGAGAGAAAGAAAAAAGTCAAGGGTATCCTGATGATGATGGAGCCTTGTGATCATATTTTGGAAACAACATTTCCATTGAGACGTGACTCTGGTGATTATGAAATGATTACTGGCTATAGAGCTCAACATTCAACTCATCGAACACCTTGCAAGGGAGGTCAGTATTTTTTCTGTTTTTATACTTTTTTTTTTATTTGCATAGCTGGAATTTTCAACCACATTCTTCGAGGGGGAAAAAACAATGTCAAGTCACATTGTTCGAATACTGAACGTGAAAAAAAAAGAATTTTTTTCTTTTCAAGAAATCAAAAGACAGTAGTACATTTTTCTCGAATTGTCTTTTCAAATATTTGTCTATAAAGTAGTTTTAATGGATTTTTCAATTTCTGTCAATATTTACTTTTGTTGATTATTTTTATTATTGAAATATAGGAAATAAACTAGGTTGTCCTTCGAAAATTGGGGTTAAACTAATTTCTTTCAGTTTAAGAAGCCCCTGATACACTTTAACATAATACATCTAAATCAATCACGTAAAGTGTTTTTTTCTTTTTAAATCTATCGATGAAAACCTACAAACCACAATTTGTATAACTTTATCAGTTTTTAAAATATTCAGAGAGTAAAACCTAAAACGTTTCAAAAATTGAAAAGTTAAAAGAAATATTCAAGAACGAAAAAAAAGAGAACATTTTAAAAATAGAATGGAATTTAAAAAAAGAAGTTTAGACTAAACGTTTGTTAAAGCAAGTTTCTAAAATATTCTTAATTATAGAAATTCATTGGAATTATAAATTCATTGACTAAAATGATCTCATGAGTCTCGGGTTTCCTTGATTAAAGCGATTATACGAACTCATCTTGTGTTTCAATGACGTTATGAAAACGACACGTAACACTCTCACTAAAGTTATAATTGCAAATTTTAATTATAAACTATTGTTTCTATAGAATTTTAGTTTTATTCGAATTCAATTCAAATTTAAATGAAAAATTCAATTAAATAGTAGAAATTTGCATTTTTTTTTTTCGTAAAAGCGAAACATTTTTTTATTGTACTTTTTTTCTAACAGTGTTTCTAAAAATAATCCTTATAACTTTGTTAACATGGAGAAGAAAATCGCACCTTATTTAAAAAAAAAACAACTGTGTTATTTCTAGTTTGTTTATTCAGAACGTTTTACACTTTACTTGACTGATAAACAGCCACTTTTGGTGACGTAAATCTAGAAAACTTGTCAATTTAGCATTATTATGAATACAAATATTCAAGTTTTATTTTCACAATATTTCCCGCAAAGTTGAGGTAAATAAAAAAATTTTAAATATAAAAGAATTATATAAGTTTAAATAGTTCTATATTCTCTGAAAATATTTTCCTATTTTTCTAGTAAATTCGATTCTATTTTTATTGTATTTTTTAATTTTTTTTACCGTAACAATTATATTTTTATTTATTGTACTTTTATTTTTTATATTTTTATTTATTGTATTTTTATTAATTATATTTTTACAATTTATTTCTACATTTTTTCTGTTTTTATAAATAAATTCATTTTCTGTATCTTTATGATTTTTTACATAATCAATGATTATTATAAGAGCACGTGAATATGAATAGACACACGTGTGTTCTACTTTGAATTTGCAGATATAAAGACTGTAATTTCTTTACAAGGGAGTTAAGAAGTAAAATTATGTTATCAGAGGTCATAACAAAGATGAATTAACAAGGCAGCAGCGATAGTGTTTCTTTGTGTCTCGCCATCAATAATTAGGAATTTTTTTGACCTTTATTTATCGCCAAGTTTTAGTAATTAGTAAGTGCCTATAATTACTCATTGTGTAACATTTTCTCTCAATTTTTTATTATCAACATTTTTAACTTGCGGATTTTTAAATTCTTTTTCAATTATTTCGGGTTTTTTAATTCTGTATTGAATTAATTCAATTCATTCAAATCATTCAATTCATTCCAATTCATTCAATTTGAATCCGAAGAATTCTTTGGAAAAAAAATTTTCCTTTTTCTACCTGTAAAGAAATGTGAAAAAATTATTTAAGGAAAAAAGTAAATTGAAATTTATTTATTGAAATTGAAAACTCATTTTATTTTTTTTTGTTTAGCTTAGGTGAATTTTCGTCGGTTAGATTCCAATAGAGGAGATGAGAAAAGGCACATGGAACAGATTATCCTGTGAAAACGTGTCCACTTTCTCCCTAAAAATATAATGAAGTTGCTGGATTCTTTTGTACTTTCTGAACGGCCATCATTCTTTGAAAAATTTTTATTATTCCTCCAAGATTGTGAGAGAGAAAGAGCCGGGAAAAAATCTTACAGATTCGAAATAAATTTTTCGTTTCTAGAAAAAGAAACTAATTTTCAGATACAAAAAAAACCCACAAAATTACAGTGAGAATAAAAAGAAAATTATGTCAGAAAATTGTATAGAATGGGAAAAAATATTAGTAAAAATATATATTACTCGAAATTAAATAATCCAGGAGTTTTTCAACTATTTTGAACGTTCAATTGAACGAAATAATTTTCACTGACAATATTTTAAAAAATTACTAATCGCAGTAAGAATTAGAAAAATTTAATATTTAGAAACTATAATTTATTATTTTGCCACTTGTCGCAATATTTTTGAAATAAATTTGAATTTAAAAAATAAAGAAAATAAATTTCATTACTTTGAACGTTTAGAATTTTAGGAACATTAAAAGTAATATCTATATTTGATTTTTTCTATTGTAAAAATTAAATAATATAAAAAATTCCATCAAAATTATAGGACAGAAAAAGTAAATAATATTAAAAAAAATTATAGTTCTAAAGTTCTGAACAAAATTTATTTGTTTCTTCCTGAAATTAAAATTTTATTACAATAATTTTGCGACATGTGTCAAAAAAAAATTAATTCCAAAGTTTCTAAACGTTACAATTAAATTTTTAATTTTTACTGCAATCGGTAATTTACAAAACATTTTTAATAGAAAATATTTCGTTTCTTTAAAAGCTCAAAACTTGTAAATTATAAAAAATTAGAGTAATTAATTTTTTCTGTTCTAAAAATTAAATAATGCAAAAAATTATAGAATAGAAAAAGTAAATAATAAAAAAATGAGAATATTTATTTTTGTCTATCGTAAAAGTTGAATACTTAAAAAATATTGTATGAAAAATTTAATTAAACGTAATAATAGTATTTTTTTATTTAAAAAACATTTTCAAAATGAAATAATATAAAAAATTATGTCCGAAAAAGTAAAAAAGAATATTTTTTTTATGGTAGAAGTTAGATATGAAAAAAATATATCATAAATTTATTATTAAAACTAATAGTATTTTAATTTATGTTATTTCAGTTTAATTTTTCTATTGTATAATTTCCGGATATATTTTTTTTAATTTCCACTGTAAATTTGTGGTTTCGCGGTCTAGAAAATGACTTTTTAAATAGTTTTTTATGATCCGTAGAAAATTTTCTCGTCTGTGAGGAATAAGTCATTGAATTTGAAGAGTGCTATTTTCGCAGTGTTCGTGTTATGCAACAAAACGATCGTTTCATTTTTCCTGAATGTAGGTCTACATAGATCGATGACGATGGTGTAACTTCTTTTAGATTCCACTTTCACCCTAGAAATTACAAGTTTAAGGTCATTTTTATAATTTATCGTTCCAATTTTTTCTCTTGTCTTCACTCTTTTTTTTGTTCTCAATTTTTTTGAAACGTAATTTCAAATTCAGTTTTTATTTTGTTTGTAACTATATACAGTAGAACCTCGATTATCCGAGGTAATGTGGGGAAGAGGTACCTCGGATAATCGAAAACTCGGATAACACGGAACCAATGAAAATTTCAAAATTTTAAATTATTTTTCATGTGTTTAAAGTGTTAGAATAATATTAAATGACAAAAATGGACGAAATTTTAAATGCAATGATCACAAATAGTGGTTTTGTAAAATTTATTTTCCAAATTTAGTCGCTCGATCCGTTTTATCCGAGTTATTCCGCATTATCCGAGCATGTTTTGTGCCTCGGATAATCCGGAATCTCGGATAATCGAGGCTCGGATAACCGAGGTTCTACTGTACATAAATTATAAATCTAAAATAAAATTCTTATTTATTTATGTAATTTGTAAAAGTATTTTTTTTTTTATTTTCATTTATAAATTTGAATAATTGAAAAAAAAATTAATAAAACTTTGTAAAGAGTTAAAAAAGGAAAAATTTGTTACATTTTAAAATGATAATTTATGTTTATCGTTAGATTGTAGCAAATTAAAATTTTTTCCCTCGAAATTAATAATAAAGTGGAGTTGGAACTACAAATAAGATTTGAAATTCAATTTTCCCGAGGAATAATTAGAATGATTTCCATTTGTAATTATGCGCTAAAAATTGTTGTTATTTGTTAACAGTAGTGTGTTTTTTGAAATTCTTGACTATATAGGAGTTTTTTTCTGGTCTTGATAACTTTTTCCTCGATTGTTCTTTCTATATTGTTCTCGTTAATGTGTATCAACACATTACGATACGTATTTTGATGTTTCTAAATTATCAATGTAATGTTTTAAATCTCAAGGCAATGAATGTTAGAACCTTGATGTAATTTGCTTCTTGGAAAGCATATTAGTTCTTCGTTAAAAATAACTTGGAGGCTCGTCTTCGTAAATCGAACAAACCTCGACTCTGCTTTAATCGAGTAAACAAGTACTCAAGAGAGTGAAAGACTTTTGTCACATTTTGTTATCGCAATTGATAAATCTACAAAATTATTTAATCAAAAAAAAAGAAGAGAGAGAGAGAGAGAGAGAGAGACAGACAGAAAATTATTTTTTCCACAATCACGTGGATGTATTGTATCAATTGTGATACATTTCTTTAGGATAGTGACTCACATGACACTTTGCGCTTTGCAGCATTCAAAGATTGTAACTGAGATATTTAATTTTGATAATAATATCAAAAAGAAAAAAAAATGTGGAAGAAATTATTTAGAAAAAAATATATAAATATTAATTTTTAAATAGGTTGATGATTAGGGGGAGGAATTAGAAAAGTCTGTCTTTAATGTTGCCAAACGATCCTAGGATTAGTGAAACCCTCTGCCAATTGATGAGTTAATTACATTCTAATGTAATTAGGGGTTGATGGAATTAAAAGATGGATGATGAGCTCAGAGCACTCAAACTAGATCTTTTTCTATCATCCTTCAGAAAATTGATGACTCATATCTTAATTAGCTCTCAGCGTAATCAACACTTTATAGACAAATAGACTTTCTTTACAAATTGTTTTTCTTTTTGATTCAGATTATATCTTTTTAGTTTCTAAACAAGCCGAATGAATATAAAAGTAGACGCAATTATTTAACAAAAATTTGGAAATCTGAGAATTTTATTTATATTTTTCTTTTTTTGTTTCTTCATTTTATTTATTTATTATGTTTATTTATTTTACTTTTTTTATTCATTTTGTTTATTTTCTTCATTTTTTTTTCTTTATTTGCTTTATTTTCTTTATTTTTCCTAATTTTGTTGATTCATTTTCTTTATTTTGATTATTTATTTTATTCATTTTCTTAATTTTGCTTATTTTGTTACTTTGTTTATTTTCTTTATTTTGTTTATTTGACTCTTTTTTGGACAATTATTTTGCGTTTCTAAATTTTCTCTACGATTCTTTTTTTCCAACATTATCGCAAATTGAGAACAATTTAGTTTCGAAAATACTTTGTAAAATGGGTGAAGGTCCTAAAGTCTACAAGTAATTTTGTATAATTGATTAAATCTTTAATACGCGCAAATGCGAATTACTTAACTTCAGAGACAATTATTTTAGACAAGATTATGATTTATATTTCAGTGAAGAAACAAAATATAAAATAATGAGTATAAAGAAGAAATGAATTAAAAAATTAAAATTAATACAAAAAGTGTTGTAAATTTTCATGGGATCGAAAATACAAAAAATTATTACTAATTTATAAATTGAACAAAAAATTTTTAATTTAATTTATTTTTTAATTTTAAAAATTGTAAAAATTGTAGAAATTGTAGAAATTAGTTTCAAACGTCTATAGAGAATAAAGACAAAAATCGTCATATTAAGTTTGATGAAATTAATTTACACAGAAAAGGAATTTATTTTTCGTTCACGAAATTACAAAAAAATTTTAAAAAATGGAGAATTTATTATATGGATAAAAATAGTAATATGAACCACGTGCTGTGCTTGAAGTGTTTTGCATTCAGCTGTCACTACTTTGGAGCAGTTGTTGACGTCAAAGATCGACAATTTGATCTATGCTCTGAATTTGTTGAGGTGTCTCGTCAGAGACAGAAAATGAATTCCAAGTAATTAGTACTACCAACTAAAATAGTTATTTGAAATAATAGTTTTTTTCTTATTCTTTCCTTGTTTTTTTTCAGGTATACGTTTTTCGATGGACGTCTGTCGAGATGAGGTCAAGGCCTTATCCGCCTTGATGACCTTCAAATGCGCTTGTGTTGATGTGCCATTCGGTGGTGCTAAGGCCGGCATCAAGATCAATCCAAAGAATTATTCTGAACACGAGTTGGAAAAAATTACCAGAAGGTTTACCCTCGAATTGGCCAAGAAGGGATTCATCGGTAATAATTTTTTTACACTCATTCAATGTGTTTAATTCACGCAATTATTCTGGTTTTTTTTTTTTTTTTTTGGGGAAATTATCTTGTTAAAAAAAAAGAAAATTTATCGTCTTGCTTCCGCATTTAAGAATTATGGAAAATAAGTTTTGTAGATTTTTTTATTTGCAAAATAGTAAACCGGTGACGATTTGAGAATTCGATTCTTCAATTTATTTAAATTTTGATATTGTTTCGATTCACTTGAATTTTGAATTAAAATTTTACTTTCTTGAAAAAATATTTTTCTTGTTCAAATAAAGAAAATTTGTTGTTGTTTTTAATTAATAACGGGAAATAAGTTTTGTGGATTTTTTTTTTAATTTGCAAAATAATAATCCGGTGGTGATTTGAAAATTCGATTTTGATATTGTTTCGATTTATTTGAACTTTGATATTGTTTCAATTTACAATTTAGGATATTATTTTGATTTATCTAAATTTTAATATTGTTTAAATTTTAATATCGTTATGTAGATTTTAATTTTGTTATCTAAATTTGAATAATTCTTATCTAAATTTTAATATTGTTTGGATTATTTTTTAGGACCGGGTGTTGATGTTCCTGCGCCTGATATGGGAACTGGCGAACGTGAAATGTCCTGGATTGCAGACACTTATGCCAAGACTATTGGCCATTTAGACATTAATGCTCATGCCTGTGTCACTGGCAAACCCATCAATCAGGGAGGAATTCACGGACGTATTTCTGCAACCGGTCGCGGTGTTTTCCACGGTCTAGAAAACTTTATTAATGAAGCAGATTACATGGGAACAATTGGTACGTTCATCAATTAAAATCTCTTTTCCAACTTTTCAATTTTACACTAATTGTCTCTGTTCATCAATTAAGTATTGATTTTTTTTTATATTTATGTCACTCGATGACAGAGAATTGCCATCTATTTATATTATTTCCAACTGTAAATTTTTTAAATCATGGAATTTTTTTCATAAGTGCAGTAATTTTTGCAATTACGAATTTTTCCACAATTTCTATGTTTGTAAAGTTCTTGAGTTTTAAATGAACGAAATTTATTTATTTCTTCCTTAAATTCAAATTTAGTTCCATAATATTGCGACAAGTGTAAAAATAATAAATTATAGTTTCTAAATATTACATTTTTCTAATTTGTACTGCAAATAGTAATTTTTGAAAATACTTTTAATGAAAATTTTTTAAGAATTTTTTCACAGTTTAAATTTTTATGTTCCTAAAGTTCTGAACTTTCAAATTAACGAAATTTCTTTTTTTCTCAAACTAAAATTTTATTACAATAATTTTGGGTCAAGTATCAAAAAAATTAACTATATTTTTAAATATTAAATCAACGATTTTAATTTTTATTGCAATTCAGTAATTTATGAAAATGAAAATATTTTTAAAGAAAAATAATTTCTTCATTTGCACGTTCAAAATTTGTGGATCATCAGTTTCTTTCAAATTAGTATTTAAGTATAATAATTATTCCTTTTGTTTATTTAACTGCTTTCTGTCGGATTATTCGTCAATTTATTTATTTATTTATTTATTTTACTAAATGATTTTTTACTATTTTCAAAATATCATTAATGAACATTTAAAACTTCAATTTGATAAATATTAGTCCAATTTTTAGAGTATTTTAGTATTACTCTGAATTTTAGTATTATTCTGAAAGTAATAATTTTTTCTTCCCTTTTCGATGATTGCAGGGACGACACCTGGATGGGGTGGTAAAACCTTCATTTTGCAAGGTTTCGGTAACGTTGGTCTGCATTCAATGAGATATTTGCATCGAGCTGGAGCCGTTTGCACTGGTATTATCGAACATGATGGATCTATCTACAATCCAGAAGGCATTGATCCCAAAGTAAGTAAATAAGCGAATAAAATACAATAATAGAATGGAAAATTTTGAACTTTACAATCCCCTCGAGTTGAGACAGACAGTATCCATACAATATTACGTGTTTATTAATAAACTAAATTTTAATTATTGCACAGCATTTGGAGGATTATCGTAACGAGCATGGAACAATTGTCGGATTCCCAGGTGCTAAACCTTATGAAGGGGAAAATCTCATGTATGAACCTTGTGATATTTTTATTCCTGCCGCTGTTGAGAAAGTAATTACAACGGAAAATGCCGGACGAATTCAGGTATTTTCTTCGCTTTTTTGTATGATTATTTTTATTTCTTATCTATTCTAGTTATTTGGTAAATTTTATTTCTATTTGGAAATATTTTTGAAAATATTTTTTTATATAAAAAGAAGAATATATTTTAAATATTTTTTCTATTTTAGTTATTCGTTAAGTTTTATTTCTATTGTTAAATATTTTTTCTATTTTTAAATATTTTTTGTTAATTTTTTTAAAATTAATTGTTTTTAAATCATTTTTTGCAAACTATCATAACAAAATTAATCTCGTTTTAAATTTAAAGGTAAAATTCGTTCTTGTATAACGTGTATTTTTATCTTCTAGGCGAAAATTATTGCCGAGGCTGCAAATGGACCGACGACACCTGCCGCTGATAAGATTTTAATCGACAGAAATATTCTCGTCATACCAGATTTGTACATAAATGCCGGTGGTGTCACAGTTTCATTCTTCGAATGGCTTAAAAATTTAAATCATGTCTCGTACGGACGTCTCACATTTAAATATGAACGAGAATCTAATTATCATCTTCTCGGTGAGATATTTAATTTATTCACTGACATTTTAATCTTTATGTGTTGTTTCTTTTTCTGTTTACATGAATTTTGTTCGTTTGTTTACAATCTTATTTTGTAAAATATGTTATTAATAGTTCAGCAAAATATTTTTATTTTTTTGCTTTAATATTAACAAATTGTTTTTTTTTTTGCATTACAGAATCTGTCCAAGAATCTCTCGAACGTAGATTTGGTCGTGTAGGAGGTCGCATTCCCGTAACTCCGTCGGAGTCTTTCCAAAAGCGTATTTCTGGTGCTTCCGAGAAAGACATTGTTCATTCCGGTTTGGATTACACGATGGAGCGATCAGCAAGGGTAAACAAAATTTATTAACTAATATTTTATCGTCTATCGTTATTTCGTAATTTTACTGGTACCTAAAAACAATTCACTTTTCAAGTATTTTTATTTTTGGAAATAATTTCTACAAGTCAAAAATAATTTTTCTGGTGCCTGAAAACAATATATTTTTCAAGTCAAAAATAATTTTTATTGATTATTTACGTTCGTTTCTGAAAAATAATGAAAAATTCATCTTGTTTATGATAATTTTCTTCCTTTTAATTTAGGCTATAATGAAAACATCAAGGAGATTCGATCTAGGTCTCGATCTCAGGACAGCAGCGTATATAAATTCAATTGAAAAAATTTTCACTACTTATTCCGAAGCAGGTCTTGCTTTCTAGATTAATTAAAATTAAAACTATTTCAAAAAAAGAAATAAGAAAAAAAAAGTGAAAACAAGTGAATCTTTTTACACGTGATGATGTACGATGAAACAATAGGTTCAAATCAAACTAAATGACAACAGTATTGTTGAAAGTCCAGACATTTACAAGAAAAAAAAAAAGAATTCTTTAGCAAATTACATGGACAATTATACATAATATATATTTATAGTGGCGATATTCGCTCTATATCACGCAAAATAGTACATAGCCTGACAAATACTTAATCTTTTAAATATCCAACGCATCCCCAGAGCCAGTTTATTTTTATTTACAAAAAATATATTTTTTTTTCGTTTGTTAAGCTTTAAAATAAGATTAATTCAGCGCCGTTTTCCTTGAATAATTGTTGTGTGATTTTGTGACGGAGATGAGGCAGTGCATTTTTATATTTCAATTTTTATTCTTGACACATAATTTTAAGATTATCTGTAATTGTTGACCTAATGTTTGTACATTTTTTTAATTGACTGGTGACAACGGTGCTGCCTAATAATTGTAACCATCCATATTTCCAAATATTTATGAAAGTAACTTATTTCTACGAATTTACAGAAACAGTGTATTATATACGGTAAATGAAATTGTTATACAACAAAAGTTTATGTTAATAAATATTGATAACATTACCACGTTACAAGATGGTTTTTATATTAGCGAATCTTTTTTTTTTCGTTAAAATTTAGTTGACTTTTCGTTAATTTTTCGTGATTTTTCGCTAACGAAAAGTTAACATGAGTTAACAAAAAGCTAAAAAGCTTTTTATTAACTCATGTTAACTTTTCGTTAACTTTTTTAAACTTTTAATTTTGACAAACGACTGTCATTTATTTGGTAAATTTATTATAAACATTCTTATATTTATTTTGAGTTAAATTTGGCTATGTGGAAGCGTAAAACTTTAGTGACTATTGAAGAATAGGGATTATAATTGAAAAAAAAAATGAAATGAGTGAATAAAAATGAGAATTCTCAAAATATGGGAACGAGTAATACTAACAAATTCAGTGATTGTTCGCCGAAGGAATTTCAGCGTTCGTGCGAAGTTATACGGTATTCATAAAATACCGGAACGATTAAAAGACGTCGGTGAATCGAATGATCCAAATTTTTCCCATATGATTGAATATCATTTTCATAAGGCGGTGGAAAAAATGGAAGATTCCTTCTTAAGAGAGCTGGCGAAAAATTCTGATACAACAAACGAAGAGAGACAAAAGCATTTCAAGGGGATTATCAATATAATGTCCAATTGTCAAACAGTCATTGAACTTAATTTTCCAATTCGAAGGGATAATGGAGAGTATGAGATTATTACTGGATTTCGAGCTCATCACAATTCACACTGGTGAGAAATTTTTTTGGAAATTTTACACAATTTTCGTTTTTTTAATTTATTATTTATTTTATTTTATAGCAATTTTAATTTTAATTAAATTAAATTTTTCATTTGAATTTTATAGCATTTTAGTTTTTTACTTTATTATTTATTTATTGTTTATTTTTAATTTTCATTTTTAGAAGTTTTTTTGGAAATTTTACAGAAGTTTAGTTTTTTTAATTTATTATTCAGTTCAATTATTTTATTTGTTGTAAAGCATTTGTAAATATGTTTCAGGTTGCCGATGAAAGGAGGTATGCGATTTGCAGCGGATGTAACGATAGATGAAGTCAAAGCTTTGGCATCGTTAATGACGTTCAAATGCGCGTGTAACAATATTCCGTTCGGAGGGGCGAAAGCTGGTATTGTAATTGATCCAAAAAAATATTCTAGACAAGAATTGGAAAAAATAACGAGGCGATTTACTTTGGAATTGGCGAAGAAAAATATGATTGGTCCAGCGATTGATGTTCCGGCTCCCGATGTTAATACCGGATCTCGAGAAATGTCCTGGATGGCTGACACCTACGCAAAATTCTTTGGTAAAATTAATTTTAATTTTTAATTAAAAATTTAATTATCGAAACCGAATTTTTAACTCTCTACATTTTTATTATCTATTTTTTATAATCAGAATTTAGAGCCTAAAATTTCTTAATTTAAATTATTTCTTAATTATCTATGGTAAATTATTTAACTATTTTAATTTCAATTTTTATAAATTAGTATATTTGACGGTTTATTTTTATATTTTTATTATATCTATAGATTATAATCTAAATTTAAACTTATGTCAAAAATTTCTTAATTAAATTATCAATAATAATAGAAAGTTATTTAATTATTAGAAATTAAATTTTTATCAATCAATATATATTTGTCGGTTTATTTTACTTATTTTTATTTGCTCCATTTTTCAGAAACAAACAATATAAACGCTCGCGCTGTCTGTACTGGAAAGCCAATCAATCAAGGTGGAGTGCAAGGAAGAACGGAAGCGACAGGTTTCGGTATTTACTTTGCAGTGCTAAATTTTATATCCGAAGAGAAGTGGATGTCTAAAATTGGCCTCAGCACGGGATTTAAGGGCAAAACCTTCATCCTTCAGGTTCTGTTCAATTTTTCCACCTAAAACAAACTTGAAACTAATTTTTCTTCTTTTTATATTCTCATCTCGTTTTCTTTCGAAAAATAAAAAAGTATTTAATTACACATTTTAAAAATGTAAATATAAATAATATAAATAATATAAAATAATATGTAAAATAATATTTAAGGTAAAAAGTGAAATTTGTAAATTAATTTAATTAATTTTCGATTATTTACAGGGTTTTGGAAATGTGGGACAATTTGCAGCTCGCTATTTTGTAAAGGCCGGAGCAATATTAATTGGAGTTATTCTTCGTAATTTATCGCTTTACAATTCAAAAGGCATCGATCCAGAAGTAGATTTGTACAATTTATTTGCAATTGAAAAATAATGATTTTGTTCTTGTTACAATTTTGTTGAGAATGTGTCTAAAATTGTTTAGGCATTAAGTAAACACATGAATGGAAAAAAAAATGCTGAGAATTTCGGTGGTGCGGAAATATACAAGAAGGGCAATTTGATGTATGAGAAATGTGATATTTTTGTTCCGGCTGCTGCTGAGAAATTGGTCAAGAAAAAAGACGCTGAACACATTCAAGCTAAAGTAAAATCTATAATATTTAAATAATTTTCGAATTTTAATATAAAGTGGTGAAAATTTATAAATTAAATTGACCAGATGTAAGCAATTTTGTAAATAATTTGTAAATAGTCACTTTTTGTAATTTTTTTGCATTTGTTTCATATTTTCTTAAATTTAAATTTAAAATTTATTTAAATAAAATTTATAATAAAATTTAAATAAAACAGAAATTTACTTTTCATTTTAAGATTATCGCTGAGGGAGCAAATGGACCTTGCACACCGGCTGCAGATAAAGTTTTTCAAGAGAGGAATATTTTAGTCATTCCAGACTTATATATGAGTGCAGGAGGTGTCACAGTATCATATTTCGAATGGTTGAAAAATATAAGTCACGTTTCATTTGGAAGACTTCATTTCAAGTATGAACGGGAATCAAGTTTCTATATTCTAGGTGAGGATTATTTTATTTAAAAATTATAAAAATTATTTTGCAGAATATTGATTTAATTAAACAAATTCCAATTGGAATGAGAATTTAATTTTGTTTTTTTCTTTTAATTTAGATTCAATTGAGAAATCATTGAGGGAGAAATTAGGAGATATAAAAATTAAGCCAACTGAAGGACTGGAGAAAAGAATAATTGGAGCCACTGAAAAAGATATTGTTTATAGTGGTTTGGATCATTCAATGGAACTTACTGCATATGTAATTAGTAAATATTTGTAAACTATAATTTTTATTCATTTATTTGTAATAACTAGTTTTTGTAAACTTGTTTGAACATTTTTTTTTATTTTTGTTTTACTTCATTTTATTTTGTTTTTCTTTATATTTTTTGTTTTGTTTTACTTAACTGTATTTTATTTTTATTTACTTATTTTCATTTCTTTTATTTTAAGTTTGTTTAAATTAATTTTAAATAAAAATTTTTGAAATTAATAATCTTTTTCTCTTTTAGTGTATCATGAAACAGGCTGAAGATCTTAATTTGTGCTTGGATATTAGACAAGCTGCATATTGTTATGCAATTTCAAAAATTTTTAAAACCTATGAAACAGATGGACTTACTTTTGAAATGTAAATGTTTTAAATTAACGAATATGCGGCACTTTAATGTAAAACAGTAAACAAAATGATTATTAAAGTTTACTGAAATTAAGATTCTTTAATAAACCAAATAATATTCAATGAAAATTTATATTTTTTGTATTTATAAACTATTCTTTAAATGTGATTCATTGCAAAAAAATAAAAATTAAATGGAATTTAATTATTTATTATTATTATTATTATTCTATTATATAACTTTATATTATAATTACAATTATATAATATTAATTTTAACAATTAATTTAGGAGTAAATATTAATTAAATAATATGTTTAATTTGATTTTTTGAATTATATTTAAAAATTAATAATTATTATTTAAAAATATAGTTAACTTGTATAATTATATATAGTATTTTTTTTATTATTATTATTATTATTTAGTCTATTATTTATTATCTTTATTTGTTTATTAATTTATTTTTTTTATTAACTCTTATTTGAATAAAATACCTTTTATTTTCGAATTTGTAAATGTAAATTTCAAATTTGGCGCCATTAAGCCATTACTACTGTAGTCAATATCAAGTTTCAATTGACATTTATTACAAATTTATTATAAAGCTTTCAATAGTATACAATTCTAAACAATCCAAAAGTGCTGTTTTAATTAAAAAATTGCAATTATTATTAACGGAAACTTAAAAAATTGTGACAATTCTGACAAATTTGTAACAAGCAAGTTAACACCATTGACGCACGTAGTCATTTCCGCCCAGGACAGTGATGGCGTCTGGATCGTAGTTCTTTGTCGTCCAACTTTTTATCATATTTTTATTAGTTTATCTAATTAATCCAGTGCTAATAATAGTAAAATCGTGTTTTTTACATTCAGATATATAATATAAAGTATTATTTTCAATATTGATCGTAAATTAAATCGATAAAGTCATAATCAAAATTGGCGTCGCGTGTCGTTTGCTTCCCCCATGGTACGCAATCGTAAAAATTGATTAAAAACTACATTTAATTTTCCAATTCTGAAACCTTTAGTCATATTTTCTAGTGAATTTTACTAAATTTGTTTATTTGGATCGTTAATTACGGTATTTTCATAATAAATTGTTAGATTTGTATGTTAAATGAAAGTTAACAATTGCGCGGGAATTGCTTTTCTTGAAAGTCGATTCTGATTGGTCACGTGATCAAACTCAGTGAGGGTTAGGTCTCAGCAAGTAGTTTACTTCTTGTCGGTCCACTTTTTAACATTTTTTCATTAGTTTATGTAATTAATCCAGTTTTAATACTTGTTTCATCGTATTCCCTATATTCGAATCTATAATATACAGTATTATTTTTGATATTGACCCCAAATTAGATGGAAAATCTTTTGATCAAAATTTTCGTGACATCGATTGCTTTTCCCCACGAGGTAAAATTGTGAAAATTGATAAAAATTGATATTTTGTTTCATAATTCCAGTATTTTTAATCATATTTTCTCAGTAATTTTACGTTTCTTTTTATTTTTTAACATTAATTTTCATTTTTGCATCGCGAATTGTTAGGTTATGTGATAGAAAAAGATTCAGCATATTCGCGGGCATTACTTCTCTTTAAAGTAGAATCAGATTGATCACGTGATCAAACTCAGAAGATGTTAGGTTTTTACAGCTTGAAAATGCCGATCGTGTTTTTATTATTGTAAATTAAATTGATATTAAGATAGAAAGTTGGATTGATTTTTGATGAAAAGTACAAGTATAAAAGTGACGAAAAAAAGAGGTTATGTGAGTGTTGAAAGTGAAGTGCAAAATAGTGTTCAAGAAGGAATATTTTCGCCATTCTGACGATTGTTTACATTTGGAGGTTGGAATTCCCTGCAAGTTGGCGATAAAGTCAGAAAAAAAGAAAGGAAAGTCGGCAACTTAAGTCTACATTCTGGTGAGTAAATTTTGTTTTTTCTTGTCGATTTTCTTGATTACTTTATACACATTGGTATTATTTTGCAAATATATTTATTGAAAAAGGTGTGAATTTTGCATAATTGTGATAAGTGCTATCATACTCAATTGGTACTTTCCCATGTATACTTTATTAGGATTGGTCCGATTTATATTTCAATTTAACGCTAGAAAAATAACAATTGGAGTAATTTTCCAATTGTTAAAAGTGATGTTAGTCGAATTTCAAGAAAATAAATTATATACATTGTTGATATAGGCGTTTTTCGAAAATTCTGCTTTTCTGGGTCTGTTTCGAAAACTTTTTCAACCGGCTCGTTGGTCTAGGGGTATGATTCTCGCTTCGGGTGCGAGAGGTCCCGGGTTCAAATCCCGGACGAGCCCAATTCTTAAATTTTTTACTGTCGTAAACAATTTTCCTTATGATTAATTTGTATTATTTATTAAATTTGTATTTCAAAACACTCTCGGAAAGTTTTTTATCTTTTGATATTTGTGTCTCAAAATTTTTTACTGCGAGTGAGAAATTGATTTTTTTTATTCATTCAATTCATTCCTTTGAGAAGTTGTAAACAAGAGAGTTGATCATGGCTGTTTCTCTAGGATGGGATTCGTCAAAAACTCATAGTAGTAAAGAAAGGTGAATAAAATTACAATAGTTAGTAGTATTACTGTTTTCTGAGGGTTCGCAAATATTAATATTGTGACAAAGTTGATTATTTTTCTCGTATTGATCGAAATATTGTACGTTCTTGTTCGTACCTAACCTCAAAAGAATGTCAATTCAAACAAATGAAAAAGAAAACACTAAAATATAATAATTTATTAAATGTATTAATTAATTTATTAAATTATTTTAATTGTTTCCTTTAAATTTTATCATTTTTGTTATATTTCTGTTTTGAAAAAGTACGGTATTCATAAAAGTCTTGTGACAATTTTTCTGTTGACATGAAAGTTTATTTTCTTTTTGTTTTAGTGGTTAAACAAACGAAAAAGTGAAAAAAAGTGATTCGAAATTTACTTTTTATTGTTATTATTGTTAATAGGGATTATTTAATCCATAAAAAATTTAAAAAACAATTGTTTTATTTCTCTAACTCTTTTAGTAATATAACCTCAAAAAGTATACGTCATCAGTGTTTATCTAATGAATTTTGCAATGGAAAATTTGTTAAATATTTAAATAGTGTAAATAATACAAATAATAGAGTAAATTAATGTTTATTTGCCAGTTTGTTTTTGTAAATTTACTATACTCGTAATATAAATTGCATCACAACAACAGTAACATATGGAACTAGAAATTTAGTGAATAAAGAACGTACAATATTTTGTTTCGAAAAAAGAATTCTTTTAGTAAATTAGGAAATGGAATGCATTATTTTCCTCGTTTTTCAGATGGATATGCATTTATCCTCTATATTTAAATAGTAAAAAAACAAGAGCAGAAGGTAGAAAATTACCAAAGGAAAAATGTGTCGAAAATCCAACTCATCAGGAAATTCGTGACGTTTTATTGGCAGTTGGTTTAAAAGTTGGTGTTGAAAATAAACTTCATCCAAAGGAACGTAGCAAGGAATTATTGTATCGTGGTAGAATTCGAGTACAATTAAAAAATGACGATGGAACACCATTTAATTCTGAATTTCCAACGAGAGATTCGGTTCTATTGTACATTGGCTCATCAATTCCAAAATTAAAAACTCGACAAAATAAACAATCATCCACTGAACAAACATCACAGCCACAAGCAGTTGCTAAGAAGGGAAAAGGAAAGGGGCGTAGGTAATAATTTTTTCAAGGAAATGGTGAAATAAATAGACTTGAAATAAATTTGATAAGAAAAAGGGAATTTCAAGAGTCAATTTCAATTCTTTTTTTAATAGAACTTTAATAATATTGAAAATATCATACTTCTCAATAAGAACATTTTTACGTTTTCATCGTTCATCTTATTTTCGACATTTTAAATGTATTATATAATTATATTTTGTAATTATAATTCATATAATTATAAATGATTTGTTGAATGAGAATTATTGTATAAAAGTTCATGAATCGAAAGGGGTAAATAGTTTTCAGCATTGTTTGATGATTTATAATGAAACAGTTTTTACTTTAATAATTGTTATTACATTCATATACCTATGTGTATAAAGTAATCAATAAATAATCTATATACATATTTACTGTTTTTTTTCGAAATAATAATGAAGATTATTGAATTATAATTTTGGAAATTTATTCAGATCTTATAATTTAAAAGATATTTTCTTCAATTTGGATGAATTTGGATTTCAATGTTTTTTGAACAACGAAACTTATGTAACAAAAAACTTGCGTTGCGAAAACACAATTTATATATTTCTTCTTTAAATTAAAATTTTATTTTAATTTAAAAAATTAATTAATTATTAAAATTTTACTAATTAAAATTTATCAAATATTGAAGAAATAAATTATAAAGTTTCTAAATTTGTAATTTTGTTATACTGGGTAAAATTTTCGTTCATTTGAAGGTTTAGAACTTGTGGATCATCTTTTAATGATGTTTTATGAATTATTATTACTATAAATTATTTCGATTTACATTTTAAATTATTACAAAGTACAATTTATATTGAAAAATTATTTTTTCTATAAATTATTAAGTATATATCGAAATTTAATTCTAAGTCGTCGGTGACAATGTTAATAGTTGACGATTAATGGAAAACAAAGTTATTTATACGAAGAACAATACAAATTTTTTTAAAAAAAATTTTCTCTTCTAAATAATAATAAACAATAAATAATAATAATAATAATAATAATAATAATAATAATAAAAATTGCGAAAAATTATAAATATTTGCTTAGAAAAATATTTTTTTTATTATTTTTCATTTATTTTTTAAATTATTTCATTCGAGTCAAAATGGCTCTAAAGTTTTGACGTTCAAATGGACGATTATTGTTTTGATACTATTTTTAAATTTGGATTTTATTAGAAATTATTTTTTTGTAATTAAAACAAATCAATTAACGAAGTAAATATTTAAGTTATTTATTTTTTTGCATCAATGTAACAATTTTCGAAAATGTTTAAACAGAAAAAATGTATTTTCTTGAACGTTCAAAATTGATGAAGCTGAAAGTCCGCAGTGCTTTTAAAAACAAAAAAGCAAAGAAAGGAATTTTTTTCAAGATAATTTAATTTTCATGTGCATAAATTTTTAAGAAATTGTTACTTAAATGACGATTGTTCAAAAATACTATGGACTTGGGGGAAAAAGGAAAATAAATAAATAAATAAATTTTGGTCACTTGAACGTTCAGAACTTTAGAAGCATTGAAAATTAACTTTCAAAAAATTGTGAAATATGTTTTTCGATACAAATGTTTTCATAAATTACTCACTGAAATAATAATAAAAAAGACATTAAAAATTTTGAAACTATAAATTGTTTTTTAATACGTGACTCGATGTTATTATACAATAAAATTTGAATTCGAAGATAAATTTTTCTAATCTAAATGGTTTTGAATTCTCCGATTCAGTACAATTTTTTTAGATCCTGGAAATTAGCATCGACGCTGAGCGTTAATAAATTTTCCGAAGTCCGAAAGAATAAAATAATTATTTCAAAGTTTTTAAATTAAAAAATTGTCCTTAGCATTTCTTGTTATCTCTAAGTGAATTAAGAAAGAGTAATTAGTGATATTTGCTATCTCTAAAAACTCCAAATAATAGTTTTCGTCGCTGAGCATCGACGCTAACTTTAGGGACAAATTTTCGTTCTATTTATTATTTATTTTTCTCGTGTATTATTTATTTATTTAATTTAAACAAGTTCCTAGGGCCTCCTATTTATCTAAATGTTTCATTAAATCCCGACTGATTTGCGTTTTCAAGTTCATCAAACGTATCAAATTCAATTTTCGATTCATCGCAATGTGGATTTTTTGTGAAAATTGGAAAAGTATTTAATAATGGTGGATGAATGGGTGCGTCATAAATGTATGTTGTTGGATAAAGATCCTTGAGATGTGATCCAAGATGAAATTTAAGAGATTTCAAACCTAAATTCAGTAAAGGTAGTCTCTTTTTAATAATCCTTGGAGCCATCACAGGTGTTTCGATATTAACCTCAGGATAATTAATTTCTGGTGTCATAACATTTTGTCGAGGTAATGCTAAATTAACTATTGGATTTAAATCCGATGGAGATGCTTCCAAATCATTGGTGGACAAACTATGTGGCATAGCAATACTGGTGCAGGAATGTGGTTTTCTGTGGAATAATTTGAAGGGTAGTTTAGGTGCGAACAATCCTATTGGTAGAGTTGGGCTTATTAATGGTCTTTTTGGAAAAAGTGGAGGTAATCCAAACCATATTGGAGGATGAATAAAATTATTTAACGGAATTCCGAAGTGAGGTTTATGCAGGCCGAATAGGGTTCTTTCTTCTGGCATCTGTAATTGTTCCACTGGTTGATTTTGAGGCGCTTGTAAAATTATCGGTTGAGGAACAGCGATCTGTAAAATAAAGTTTGATTTTTGAATTTTTTTTTTAAGAACATTTTTTGTAAATCTTCAACGTCCGAGTTTATTTCACAGTTTAAGGATATCAAATTGAGACAAAAAACGATAAAAATTGTTGCGATGCAACACTGTTGCATCGCAACAATTTTTATCGTTTTTTGTCTCAATTTGATATCCTTAGAAAAATTGCGTTTTTATAGAAAATAATCAACTCGGATCAAAGATTCTTATCAATAATGAGAAAGTACTTCTGAGAAATCAGAAATTATTGAGCACAGTTTAAAATTTTAAACAAGTATTTTTTGTTTAAGAATATTTAAGGTTTACTTCTCTCGGTGCTGGTAGTGGTGGTAATGGTTGAGGATTGTAATATGTTGTTGGCAGTATGGTTTCAATATTTAGATTTGGTTCAATGTAACTCCTTTGTTGAGGAACAGTTGGTTGTGTTATTACTTGTTTTGGACAGTTATTCGAATTTAAAGGTTGTCGTGCACTTCCAACTATTTCATTTTTAGGGGACGGAGAATTTTTCACGTGATGAGTGATTCCGAGTAGTTCAGCAGGGCACCAATTATCTCCCATTGCAGCACCAACAATACTATCTTTTGGTTCACTTGGTGGTGGTTTATTTGATTGCCGTGAATTACAACATTCTCCACATTTTGCTTGTTTGCAAGGTTCTTTTAGAATTACATCTCTATTGGGTCCGTCGTTTTCGAAATATTCTGCTATTCTTTTAATATGCTCTGAAAGTAGGAGAAAAAATTGTTTTTGTAAAATCTTTTTATAAAAACCACAAATCCTTTTATGAAATCAAAACATCTATGTTTTGAAAAGAAAATTACGTTGTTGAAGTTGATAATTTTTAAATTGTTTACCTAATGCTTCTTCGTTTTGTAAATTTATCAAAGAACGAGTAGATCTTCTTCCTTTTTCTTGACTATTCGATATTTTTAAATTCGTATCAATTTTTCCCTCATCTTTTATTAATTTTATGGATTCTGTACCTATAGAATCATACAATAGCAAAAAAAGGAAAGTTAATTTTCTTCGACAATTATTAAAAAAAACACTATTTTTTAAATTTAAATACTTTTTAAAATTTTTTAATTTTAAATAAATGTCAAGAAAGTTGTAGAAATAAAAACTAAATTAAACATTTTTATTGAAATAAAAAAGTTTACCTCGATACAAAAAACACATCACTGACACAAAAATTAAAAATCGCACATACATTTTCATTTTTGATAATCCAATTTTTGAAGCTTGTGCACTCAATCTCTCACTGACAATAAATAAAAATGATCCATTATTTATACTTTCTGTCAAGAATCTGCTGACATTATTAATGCTTATTTATTTAAGATGTGCTGAAATTTATTAGTTATTCCTTACGTAATTTAACCTGCGAATATAATAATGACTTTTTTTTCTTGAGAGAATAAGTTACTGAGAAAATTGGAAAAAACTTCAACATTTGTTTTTATAAAATACAAATAAGTTTATTTTTAAAAAGTAAAAGAATAAAAAAGAAATTTAAAATTAATATTAAATGTAGATAGGAAATGGTAAATTAAAGAAAATAAATGTAAGTAAATAAGTAAATATAATAATAATAATAATAATAAATAAATAAGTAAAGAAAGTGTTAGTCTCCCATTTTTTCATGGTTTTAATTTATTTTCAATTCTTAAATGAAAGAAATTAATATCATTAAAATATTCGAAATATAATATTTTATAATATTAAACATATTCAGAAAAGAGACTAAAATTAATATTAAAAAATAAAAAAGAAGCCATAAAGTTAATATTAACCAAATAAAATTAAAATAAATAAAAAAACTGGTAAAAATGGCTAGAAATAAAAATTGTAACTAATATTTTGATAAATAAGATTGAAAAAAAAATTAATAAAAACGTTTCCAAATAAAAAAAAATCCTTCACCGTGACAATGCTTGAAGCATTGCCGTGACCAGGATTCGAACCTGGGTTACTACGGCCACAACGTAGGGTCCTAACCACTAGACGATCACGGCTAACGAAGGATATAAAATTTTTTGACAAAAAGTCGATTGCACTGCAATGACTCATTTATATGATCTATATATCTATATATACACTTCACACATAGAAGCAACAATTTATTAATAATTCACACATAGAGGCAATAAACTATTAATAATTTACACATAGAAACAAAAAATTTAATAATTAACGCACAAAAAAACTATTACTAATTTACATGTAGAAAAAATTAACAATTCACATATCGAAAAAATTAACAATTCAAACATGAAAAATAAAAAATAATATAAACAATTTATTACGGATAGAGTAAATCAGTTCTTTTTTTAAAAAACATAATTAAATCTTTTAAATACAGTAATTTTTCAACTTAAAAGTAAATCGAATTTTGTAACTTTGCGGGAATTTAGAATCAATTGTTTCCATTTTTCTCCGAACTTATGAACGCATAACTCGACTTTCATTAAAATTTTATTCATTTTTGTACTGAATACTTTTATTTGGAATTTGTGAAAACATTTACTAGGAAATAAAATAATTTATAAAACGAAGAAATTTCTTTTATAATTAAAATATTTATTACAAAAAAAATTATTTTGAAGAATTTTAAAGAAGATTTAAATTTATAAAAATAATTTTACTAGACGAAATGGAATTTTTCTTAACGTTTCTATATTTTTTATAAACTTTCTTGTCATTTGCTCTCTTTTTCAACTAAAATTTTTATAATTTTTTTGATATTAGAGAAAGATTTCTATAAAAGCATTGAGGACGCTCTGATTCGTGTCGCCCTCAAGTGTTAATATTTCCAATTACCCCGAACTTCTGAATCGATATTGTAGTTTTCTTCTTCGCTTTCAAAATTTTACCTTCCATTTTTAAAACTTTGCCACTGTATAAAGTCCATGAATTATTTCGATATTTGTCGTAATTAATTTTTTTAATTCATAAAAAGCCTATAATGACATTTAGAAATTAGTGACAGGTTTGAATGGTGGGATTAATTTTCAATTTAGTACAGTATTAATAATTTGTAAAAATTGACAAGAAGTTAAAAAAATTAATTAATTTAGAGAATTTGCGAAATCTGCTTTTATGCAAAAATATAATAATTCTTTTCCTATTTCAATTTTCACGTAGGGAAATTTTAACTTGGGGATTATTTTTTCTAAATGATTTATTTTGTGGCCTTCTATAAGTATTTTCTGTTGCTGTCAAAGTGAAAAAGGAACTAGGACGGATGTCCGTTCGTCTGGAAAGTTTGTGGGATTCAATCGCTATGAAGCCACGTCAGAGTGTCAATTCAAAGCAATGTAATCTCCGTTTATACGACCGGCCAATAATCGGCTTATTGATTTCAATTCGTTTAGACTTAAGTATCATATGCACAATGAAATATGTTGTTTAATTTAAATATGTATACTGTTATTATTTTTTTTTCTTTTTATTGTATTTCTCATCCCCCTCTAGCTATTTCATTATAGGCAAAATTCCCAATTTCTGTTAGTGTATAATAATATAGAAATTTTAGCGTAATATAACTTAATGGTCAAGCGAAACAATCAACGTCGAATTACTCTGATGATTTTGCTGATGAGGCTTTTGTAATTTAGCAAATGTCACAAAGCATTCATTTACCAATAGAAAGCGATAAATGTTATTTTCACAATGGGCAAATAGAACAGTGTATACATTAGGTATTGTGTTTTATTAGATGTTTTAATCAAATTTACACTTGATTTTTGATAGTTTATTTTTAGAAATGAATATGAATTTGTTTCGTATAAATATTTAATGTAATCTCAAATTAACAGGAATTATTTTCTGTTGGAAGTATTTTTACTTCCTTCTTTAGATGCATTTACATTTTTTTTATTGACTAAATCCTCTCTAAATTTGTCGCTGAACAACATCCGGAAGGATACAATATTTTATTGTAACTTTAAAGTAGTAGCAGGTTCACAAAAATCAAAATTTGGGTAAAAAGACATAAAAAATTAATTTCTTCTAATTTTAAATATTTTTGTCATCGGAAAGTCACCTGAGTTATATAATAGGGACTGAGCCTTACCCAATCTTAAAGGATAGAATATTTTATTTTGACTTTTGAGAAGTAGGAGGTTCATCCGTTTTCTAGCAGACAATCATTCATTGAAAAAAGACATTACAAATTAATTTCTTCGAATTTTTAATATTTCTGTCATTGGTAAATCACCTGATTTTTAGTAGGACTGGGCTTTACACAATCTGAAAATGTCAGGGAATTTTATAAATCTTGAAAAAACCTGGAAAAGTCAGGGAATTTTGATCGAAATCCTGGAAAATTGTTGTTCTAAAGTTATTGTGTTTATTCTTAAAATCTAATTTCACTTAAATATTTCAAAATTAATTCAATTTTAAAAGAGTTGCGTTTACAATTTTCATAAGTATAGATGAACTTCAAAAGATTTTGATTTAGAATTTTGTACTAAAACAAATTGAATTTTTGAAGCAATTACAAATGATTGCAGAAATTCAATTATTTTCAAAAGCAGTAAAATTCTTCTCAGAAATTCATTTATTTTCAAAAAATTTCATAAAATTCTTGGCAAAATTTTAATTATTTTCAAAAACTTTCTTTTTCATAAATAATAATAATTTCACAGGATTTCAATTATTTACAAATTATTTTCATAAATAATAACATTTTTTACAGGGATTCAATTATTTTCATAAATAATAAAACTCAATGCTGAATTTCAATTATATTTAATACAATTTTAATGGAATTTCTCGAAAAATGTAATTATTCTTAAAAATTTTATTAAAATTTACGAAAGAAATTCAATTATTTTAAAAATCTTTGCTACAATTTATTTATTAGAATTGAAGTATTATTTTTAATACATTTTTAATTTAAATTCTTCAAAGAATTAAATTATTTTCAAATATTTTAATGAAACTCTTTGCGTAACAATTCAATTTTTTTAAAAATAATTTTTAAAAAATTCTTTGTAGAAATTTAATTAATTTCGAAAATTTGTTAAAATTCAATTATTTTTACTGTTTACTATTTCAATAAAACTTCACAAAAAAATTCAATTATTTACAAAGAAAGTTTAATAAAATTCGTCCCAAGAATTCAATTATTTTCAAAAGTAATATAATTCTTCGCAAAAATTCAATTATGTTTAAAATTTTACAAAAATTATCGTCAAAATTTTAATTATCGTTATAAATAAACAATTTTTTTCCAAAATTCAATTATTTTCAAAAATTTTAATAAAATTCTTGGCAGAATTTCAATTATTTTAAATACAATTTTCATCAAATTTCTCCAAAAATGCAATTATTATTCTTAAAAATTTTATTAAAATTTGTCAAGAAAATTCAATTTTTTAAAAATCTGTTGATGAAATTCTTTATGAAAATTCAATTTTAAGAAACATTCAATTGTTTAATAAAATATTTATGTTTATAGTTAAATAATTGTATTCTCGTAGAATTTTCTAATAAATATTGATTTAAAAATGAATTTAAAATTAAAATCTTTGAAAATTTGAACTTTTCATACTTTTAATTAATAATTCTATAGAATTAATTTTTCTCAATATGTTTAATGGAATTTTTTTTAAATTATTTGAAGTTTTTTATCTCTAATATATTTCATTGAAGAATGTCAGAATAAATGAAATTTAGTAAAATTAAGTTATAAACAAATGAATTTGAAAATTCACAAAGAACTTTCTCAAAAATTATTTTAAAAAATTCACTTAAAAAAGAATTTTAGTTGAAAATTCTAGAAATAAATAATCGTAATGATGAAAATAATTTTTGAAGAAGTTACAGTAACAAAGTAGCAAGTTTTAATTATTATAAAACATGAAGAAAGCGATCACTCCTATAGTCTTCGACTCGGAGTGATTGATATCTTCATGTTTTTGTGTCTTAAAGTCGATTCAATAAAAATTTTGTTTCTGATTTCTAATTAAACTTTCTTGATTGAGTGTAGATTTTTCAATTTTTTTTAATTTTAGAGTTCTGAATAGAATCACTGAAAATCAGTCAAATTTCACTGATTTATCTTTAGAGAGTTATGTTTTGATTTTAAAATCCGACATTAGGATTTTTGAATCATTAAAGGGAGTAAAAGTTGTCTTTAAAGATAAAATAAAATAAATACGCAATTTATACAATAGAAGATGATAATATTTCCAAGTGAACAAATTTTCTCAGATATGTATATGCATGAAAAAGCTTTATGATTTTATTGAAGCGACAAATTGAACTAAAAATAATCCTTTACGTCAGAG